CATCTCTCCATGGAACCATTGTTTCGATTGTGGGACTTGTCAATCTCAGGAAGTCCAGATATTCATTCCAGATCCGAATGAAGTCCATGAGGTTCACCTGTCGTGTTGCAAGTTCTGTTTGCAGGAGATCAAACAGCTCGCTTCGGGTGAACCATATGCCAACCTCTGATCCGAATTCCAGTGTTGTAGTGAGTTGCTCGTATATCCTGCTTGACTGGGCAGGGCTGTAGTAAGCCATTTCAACAAGGCCTGCCGCTGAAAGCATGATGTTCTGTCGTCGACGCGGGTCGATGACAGCTGTGGTCGAGCATGAGGCGGTCCCCAGTTCCTGTGGAGCTTGCTCGTCCAATCGTGCTCGCTTGGGCTCACCTTCTTTCACAGCGTCCTCCGGCATGGCCTTGGTCGGCATCACCTGCAGCGCCAGTAGTCCAACGATGGTCTGGCGTGTCGGCATTCTCCCACCAGGGAAGATGGCAATGGCGGGCAGGAGAACAGTCCCCTTCCAATCACCTGGATTCCAGTCCCGGCTAGGGATTAATGTCGCTTGGCTGCTCGTCCTCCTCTGACCGGTCATCAGGCACTTCGATGCTCTCCAGGAAGTCGCTGAAGGCTTCGGGGTCAAAGAATTGTAGCAGCAAGTGTAGCGAGTTGAAGTCCTCGCCAGGTCTGGCTTCCTGTATGGCCTGTAGGAGCCAGGTCGTGTGCTGTTGCGGCACCCTCCAGTTCCGGATAAGATGCTGGGCCAGAGTGAACTCAGCGCGGCGCATGTAGAAGTTGTACGGGCTGTTTGGTCCCAGGCTGCGCAGGAACTCCAGTCGCTCTGGTTGTTGCGGCTGGCGATACAGCAGCAGCATGAGACGATAGTGTCGTGAGACCGAGCTTCTGGCGCTGGCCGGGATCCTGCCCAGCATGGTCGCAATCCACGTGTCATACTGTCGCTCTCGCAACTGTCTTCGTAGTCGGCGCATGATGGCATCCAGCCGGCTTGTGTGCCCCTCCAATGCAGCCAGGTGATTCCGGACAACATTAAGCAGCAGAGAGCCAGCAAGGGTCTGCCACAGGTCTTTGCTCGGTTGCCCGCCGAACACCAGTGCTTCAGAGTGTGCCTCCTCGTGTTGAAATGCTCGGCAGGCCATGACATCAGCGCAGAAAGCAGAGCGTCTTCCCTGAGCCTGTTGGAAAGAGGGGCCTGTTTGGGACTCGAGGCTGTTCACCACACGCCACACACACGAACGCGCACGCACGCGCACACTCAGTACACGTCAGTTCGAGCCGAGATGCTTTGGCTTTGCGGTTCTACTAATTGCTTAAGAACCCCGACAGAATAAAAATATATAAAAATACTGACCCTTATTAAGGGTAAAAAAGGATTTATTCTTTTGTATTCTTTTCGGGTTCTTGAGCAAATAGCAGGGTTTAGGGTTGAGGGTTGAGGCTTGAGGGTTGAGGAAGTGAATAAGAGGTTCAGGGTTGTTTCAGGCTTGGGGATTCAGGGCGTTTTGGGAGGGTTTTCAGGGCCTGGGACACCGCAAACCCTTCAAGCTTCACTTCGACGCAAAACAAAGCAGGAAGCCAGTTTGACTTAGTAAGTAGGATTGGTAAGGTGGGTTATGGGGATTACAATAGGGCTTCTAGGGATTGTAGGGGATGCTCAGCAGACTTACTAAGTCAAAAGAGCTTTCAATCAGGGTCAGGCCTGTGACATACCGTCGCCAAATCATGTCTTACTTGTACCTGATGGGCCAACTAAGTGCCGATGGCAGATCCTGCCGTGCAGTATCTTGGGACTGGGCAGATTCCGGGCACACAGGATTTTCAACCCCTTCGGCCCCTTCGCGGGTGGAGAAGTGCCCCCCTCACTACAACCTCCCGAATCATCACACAAGCAAGGAAGCACGTAAAATGCCCCGCAACTCCAAACAGAATGCCTGAACATGTGATCCGACCTTGGAGTGCACGCAGACGTACTCCACGGCAAGGCGGAAGTTATCTTGAAGGTGTGCGCCCTCAAAGCGCCTCGTAAGGCTTTCGAGTTCGGCCATGAACCCCACCCCGAGATTCTTCCCCCGGATCTGCAATCTCTACACATGTCATGAACACTCACAATCGCACGGTTGCCACGGACCTTCGGGCGTTCTTCACTCTCAGGCCTCATGCTTGGACACCGTCTCAGCACACCCTGAAGCCTGAATGCTAAGAAAAGCCCCAACTCACGGACTTCAGTACGAAGATGGCTGCGCGTGGCTTGGCCGACGTCAGGGTCCAGGGTTTAAGAATTTAAGCTTTGTGCCTAGGGTCGCAGGCGAAGACGGAACAAGTCAACCCCCCCTCCCTTCATGGACAGTATGCTAATGCCAACAGATTTCGTTCTAACAGTCCATAACCTCAATGCTGCCATCCAATGCAAGGTGCGCCTATCGTGCATCACGGCCACCATGTACACAGCCACACTGTCGACATAGTAGGCCTAGGTGGATTCCTTCAGCTCCCTAGGCACTCCAAATAAACTAGCCACTGCCCTGCAAAATCCAAGAGCCTCTGTGGCCCAATGAAAAAGGTTCTAATTCGGGCTTGGCGTTTATGATTTTGGGCTTCGGGGGCGGCTTTTGTTCGGTCCGCGACTCGGCCCTTCGTGGCCGGAAGTTGAATCGTTTGGTCTGGCTTGTGGCAAACATGCGCAAATCCCGAAGTATGGGTCCTGGTCCGCAGAACCAGTGCACCCACCCAAAGATTAAACCGTAGAGACTCTTGACCTGAAACACCCTGAAAAAAGCACCAGGATCCCCATCACATAAGCCCTTCCCTGACCAGCGATGCCAGGAGCAATTAACTTAAAACCCTACCAATCTCTGACTGAGCCAAGCTGCCAAAATGCCTCGGCTGACATTCGGAGTTGATTGTTACTAAATTGTTACAAAATTAGGCAGTGATGCGTGCAAAGCGAAAGTGTGTGTGCGCCACTGAAAAGGCATGTCCGCGCACAGAAAAGATGGTGTGTTGCAAAAAGACATGTGCGTTTGTCGATACACATGCAAACGTGGGCGAATATTGCTGCACTTGCCATACGCACGCGTGTCTTTGAATGCTGCCCATGTATAGCACATGTCCGTATCGAAATGTCAGCGGCATGAGGGTGGACGAAACATTGCTATGCTTCTTCCTGCACACGCACATTGTATGCTCGTGAAGAAACTGCAAAGATACTAACGCACATAGAAGCCACACAACTCGAAATGGCTGCGAGGAGGCTGCAAAATTGCTGCGGATTTTCCCACGCAGATCCCTCTCAACCCAGCATCGACCTGGGGATTTGTCTCTTTTGTTCCCCTGCTATGGTACAGCTCCTTGTAGTGCTTATAATTCTCTCACTGGGTTTAGACTGGACCCTACATTGGCCCAGCAGCACAGCATCGTCTCACGGCAAGCTCCGACCAAGTGATGGAGTTCCTCCTCAAGCTTCTCACAGGGCAAGAGTTTGGGGCTTTTGGCTGCTGGGGTTTAGTCAAGTTGGCCATTCGGGTTGCAACCAGCGAGGAGGAAACTCAGAACCCCCAAGCCGATCTTGCACCCGTGTGCGAGCGCATAAACGCCAGGGACGCACCTGCGTGGGCATGCGAAGACACACATGCAGGTTTCAATTTCGGATGTGCTCAGTTCGAAGTCTTGTGTCTTTGGTCATTTGGAAGTCTTCAACCAACACGACGTGAGGTGGGGTGTCCCATTGTTCTCACTTTGGGAACTTCCACAGGCTCGGCCTGGAGCTCTTGAAGCCCGGCCATGTGCCAAACACACTCGAACCTCTCGCATCCTTCAAGGAGTGAAGCGCCCCCCCATGATCACTCCTCATAGAGGCCAGGAAGCTGCCACAGCAGGTCGGCCACCTTGGGAGCGTTTGCTGGGAAAAAAGGGAGGAGAAGGGGGGAGAAGGGGGGAGAAGGGGGGCTAGGGCTAGGGCGAGGGCCTCCCAAGAGACACGGCGGAAGATCCGACCACTCCAGCTGCGCAAGAAAAAACGTCTCAAGGTTGGGAGCCACTCTAGCCCTGAAGTCCTAAGCCCTCAAACCAAAAGCCCCCACCTCCGTGCAACAACTGTTAAACCGCCCACCACCGCAAGCTGGGCCCAAGCCGCCAGGAGCGTCCAGCCCACTCCGACCGCCCAGCTCGGCACCGCCCCAGCGCCCAGGCCTCTGTACCATGGCGGCTTGGCATTCGGGCGACAAGCCCTTAAAACCCTTTACGCCCAAGAAACCGCTCTAAGCCCCTAAGCAGACAGCCCAACACACCCTCGAAGCCCGGTACGGGTACTACCCGGGCGCCTGCCCCAAAGAGCGCCAGGTGCAAGGCGCAGAGGGCGGCCCGGCGCATCGCTCGGCGAGGGCGCCGGCATGGCTCGGGCTCGGCTCAAATGGGGGATGCGCCGTTTTCTACGGGAGGTTCGGGTTCAGGGTTGTGAGGCTTTAGGAGGAGTGCTGGGCTCAAGCAGGCTTTTTGGTGTACTTGTGGCTCGAAGTTCAAGGCACGAGTACATCTACTAATAACCACCCATGAACCTTCATGGTAGGAATTGGGGGGTCGGGTTTGGGGTTCGGGAGTTCGGGCTTACGCTTCAGGGTTGAGGGCAAAGCATCCGGTCGAACGCAGCATGGCAAGGGACCCTGGGGCCCTAGGGCTATGCAGTGGGGAATTGCCCCCAAGGGCCTCGGGTGTGTCTATGTCGACTTTAGAATGCTTAGAGTACTTTAGGCAACAAAAGGGCCCGTAACGTCTGGCTTCAACGCCCCCCAAACGTCGCACCGTCACACCGCCAGAGCAGCGGGAGCATGGCTAGGTAGCCCCTCCCGCCATCCCCAGAGGTCATTTGTAACCAGGGTTCCATCATTGAGCACTTGGCGGGGGATATAACTGATCTTCCGAAAGTGGCAACATAGGGGCTTGGCATTGCAGCCTGCGCAAATCTAAAGGGGCAGATACTGTTGAAGCTATGCAGGGTTTTTAGGGCTTCAAGGCTTTCTGAGGCCCAGCCAACAGCAAGCTAGCGAAGCATCATCCTCCAGAGGCTCTGCGTCTTCTGGTGCCGCAATGGCTTCCTGGACGGCACGCGCGCGCGCGCGGCCCACACCCGGCTTTGCAAAGTTTAAGCAAACCCTTAACCTCTCCCCACCATCCTAACCCAACAACCGACCAGCTCCCTGAATCTTGGGGCCAAGAGCTTAAGTGCGCTAAGGCTTTCAGGGGTTTTTGCGTGTCGCTGAGGGCTGAGAGAGGTTTGGGCGGTTACACATGAGGCCTAAAGCTGACCCGAAGTCCCCCCCCCCCCCCCCCCCCCCCCCCCCCCCCCCCCCGCCCCCGGCTTCCCCCAAGGCAAACCGTTCACAATCACAATCCTCCCCATGGTTCCTAAACCCTCTGCTCCTTCGTCAGCTTCAGGATGTCCTGCACTTCGGTCCACTTCCCAAGCACCTTCCGAGCCGGATGGGGGAATCTTGTAGCACTCAGGCTCAGGATAGGGTTTTAAGGAAGTTCTACGCCACAGTGCCGAAGTCTCATTCCCTGGCGCCCGCCTCGCCCGCAATCTTCTTCCGCTCGTTGATGTCGAGGCTCTGGAAGAGCTGCACGCACTCATTGACCTTGCACACTAACTAAGCTCCTTGCGGGTTTGGGCTGCCTTCAAGAACTGCTCTCAGCTCTGCCTGAACTGGGAGAAGCCTAAACCCCCCACATTCTGTTGCCCTCCTTCCTGCGTCCTGTGGCATGTAAACGACTACGTTAGATGCCGCGCGGTTCTGGAGAGAGACTCGGGGTTGGAGCCCAAATAGACTCGGTGCTTTCGGTGAAGGAGGCTTGTCTTTGTGGGCCACCTAACTCTAACCAAAAAGAAAACGGCCAACAAAAATCTATAAACCCTACAGACCCAAGAAACATTATGAACCCGGTGCACCCTATACAAAGCCCTACAAGACCCGAAAACTGCCCCGAAAGGCCCTACACCCTAAGTCCCCAGGATGAGAGGAGTCTGCCTTCTGCGGGAAGAGGAGGGAATTCTCCTGAAGGAGTGGCCCGCCGGGCATGAGGGCTGAGGGATTCGGGTGGGTTCGGTTCGACTGCTCGGGGCTCGGAAAGCTTCGGGCCAATCCTGGTGTTGCGGACCTTTGTGCGTTGAAGGTTCTGGGAAGCAACGGTTTTGCGGCTTTGGTTGGGGCCTTCAGCTGAGACAAAGTGCAGGGCAGCAGGTTAGGTGCAAGACTTTCCTGGGACCCGTGATGGACACCGATAAGCTTCTCCCCCTCCCCCACGGAAGGGGCTACGGCTATGGCTGCGTGCCTGCAACATCGGCTCCAGGAAGTTCACTTGCCAGAACAGCATCATGATGCTCTTCTCAAATTCCTCCGTCGGGTCGTAAGTGAGGTTGTGGCCTTTCTTTGGTTAATTGGGGGGTTGGGGGGGAGGGGTACAAGGCATGCTTAAAGGCCGCCCTGAGCCCTGAACCGGGACAGGGCCCGGGGGCTGAACAGGAGTAGGGCTTCCTGCTTTCAGACTTGCAATAGGGGCATTTCTCAAAATTGGTGTTTCTCCATTGTCGGAGTTCCTTTGTCTCAGGTAGCCAACACATACGTACATGATCAAGTTGGCAGCACTCCTTGAGACGTAGACCAAACCTCAAAAAGCACATTTTATAAATCCTAAACCCTAAACCCCTCAACCCCTCAACTCTTATCCCCTCAACCCTCAACCCTAAAATCCTGAAGCCCCTGCCTGGGCCTTGCACGCAGAGTCCCTCCCCTAAAGCCATGCCAGCAGAGGGTGCCTGTAGCACCTCCCCCACTTCATCGGCAAACTCCTGCATCCTCAAAGGCTCAGCGGGAGGGAGGCTCAGAGGTTCAGAGGTTCAACCTCTCACCCCTAAACCCTAAACCCCAAAACCCCTGACCCCCTAAACCCCTCTACACCCCCCTAAACCCCTAAACCCCTAAACCCCTAAACCCCTAAACCCCTAAACCCCTAAACCCCTAAACCCCTAAACCCCTCAACCCCTCAACCCCTCAACCCCTAAACCCTACCCCCCCCCCCCTCCCCAAATGCTCCACAAAACCAAGGGTTTGGCTCTGGCAGCTGGGGCCGCGGGCTGGAGCGCGCCGTGGAGCTGCACAGCGTTGATGCGGCCGTCCTCCCGGCGTAATGGGGGGCTTTCATAGGGGGCTTCTTAGAAGGGTGCTTGAAAAAAGGGCCTCAAGAGGGCTTTTTTGGGTTTTGTTTTTGGGGCGAGGGGGGGGGGGCTTGTTTATGGCTTTTGGGGGCGTTTTGGGCTTTATCGGGCTTTAGGGCCTAGAGTCTGAACTTTCTGGTTTCTTGTTTGTTTCCGGCATTAGGGGTCAGGTTCAGATGCAGGTGCGTGCAAAATGCTGAGGGCTCGGGGCCCCAGAAACCCCTAAATCTTACCAAAAGGCAGGTCAAACATTGCACAAAGCACCCAAGCAAATCCATGAAGATGCAGAAATGGGGTTCAGGGTTCAGGGTTTAGGGTTTAGGGTTTAGGGTTTTAGGGTTTTAGGGTTTAAGGGTTTAAGGGTTTGAGGGTTTAGGGTTCAGGGTTCAGGGTTCAGGGTTTAGGGTTTAGGGTTTAGGGTTTACGGGTCTAAGGGTTTGAGGGTTTGAGGGTTTAAGGGTTTAAGGGTTTAAGGGTTTAAGGGTTTAAGGGTTTAAGGGTTTAAGGGTTTAAGGGTTTAAGGGTTTAAGGGTTTAAGGGTTTGAGGGTTTAAGGGTTTAAGGGTTTGAGGGTTGGGGTTTAGGGTTCAGGGTTCAGGGTTCAGGGTTCAGGGTCCACGGTCCAGGGTCCAGGGTCCAGGGTTTAGGGTCCAGGGTCCAGGGTTTAGGGTTTAGGGTTTAGGGTTTTGGGGTCAGGGTTTAGGGTTTAGGCTCCAAATTCCCCAAATTGTCGGGGGTCCTCCATCTGCGGGATCGAGTCCAGGAGAGCCCCCATGTCCATGGAGCCAAGAGCCACCTCAGTGTGCGTCCAAGCTTGAGGGGCAAAAGGAGTTAGGGCTCCGGGTTTAGGGCTTATGGGTTTAGGGTTTAGGGCTTATGGGTTATGGGTTTAGGGTTTAGGGTTTAGGGTTTAGGGTTTAGGGTTTAGGGTTTAGGGGTTAGGGGTTTAGGGTTTAGGGTTTAGGGTTTAGGGTTTAGGGTTTAGGGTTTAGGGTTTAGGGCAAAAGGATTTGGGGCTTAGGGAAGTTTAGGGCTTGGGGCTTTGGGCTTAGGGGCTTACTTACTGGGTCTTTGTGGGAGATAAGGGAATTCGGTACCCAATTTACTCCCGTAAAGGCGAATATAGAGGGGACATAAAGTACCTAATTCACTCATCTTCGGGCTTAGCGCCTGAGGGGGTTTGAGCAGGTTGGGAAAGGCCCTAAGCTAAAGCGAGGGCTGTTGGGGGCCTCAGACCCTACAAATCCACACACCTGGTTTCGGGTTGTGGGGTTTAAGGCTGAGGTGCAAATGGGGACCCTCAACCAAAAACCCTAAGCCCTGACCTTATGGATTTGAAGGGGGTTTATAGTGACCTCCGCCCGAAGACTAACCCCCCCAACCCCTAACATTGAATCTTCTAATTCTAGTATCTCATAGCATTAGCTCAAAAAACCTTGATATTGAGGGAGCATGGGCTTTGCAAGAGCGAGCCCACCTTTTGTAAACGCAGATCGAACGAGCTTATAACCCTTTGGACCCTAGACTTGGAGCTCCAGACCGAAGACTCCTGCATCCGTTTTCCAGCGGGAAGACTCATGAAATGACGAGCGTTCTCCAGACCAGGTGTTGACAGGGTCCCAAGGTGTGACAAGGAGATCCGGAAGGTTAGACGCTTGGAGAGGAAAAAGGACATCAACCCCTGAACGTCCCTGAACCCTGAAGCCTGAACCCTAGTACCCCGAAGCTTACTGAGATCCGGCCTGTAGAAAATCGCCCCTGGAGCACAGGGATGCCTCTGCCGCAGTCAAGAGAGAGTGCGTTGGGGAGGTAGAGTGTGGGTAGAGGGTCGTATGAGGGCTTAGGCTTGATGCAGCCGTGGGCGGCACTTGGGGAAGATCGCAACACACCTCGAATTGGACCTGTTTAGGCTCCAAGCTGTCCGAACAAAAAGTGTAAGCACTTAAGCCCTGACTCTCAATGCACCGAGATGTTGCTTCATGAAGGAGGGCAGCAGGGAGCTTAACAGATGTGCGTGAGGCACGTGCACACACGCAAGAACCAGCATCGTAAGCTTCTAGCCCCTTGCGGCAAGCCCTAATCTCTAATGAACTTGTCTTAAGTGACCGTAAATTCATGAAGAGGAGACCATCTTATTGACTTCAAACAACATCATCCCACTATGTATTTACAACATACGCTGCGTAAAGCTGCCTTTCAGTAAGCCCTTAAACCCAAATCCCCACACCTGGACCCTAAACTCCAAAAAACCCAAGCCCTGGACCCTCAACTCCTGAACTCTCAACTCCTGAACCCCAAACCCTAGACCCCAAACCCCTATACCCTAGTACTTATGACTAAGTATCAGGCCCTGGCCTGCTCCCCATCTTCAAGCACCGCCCGCGCGTGGGCGCGAACACGCCTTGGTTCGATGGTCCCGGTGGCCCAGTCTGAATCTCACGAAACGGTTTAGGGTTCGGGGGTTTCGGGTTTAGGGTTGCAAGTCCAAAGCGGTGAAAACGGGTGAGACCATGCTCTTGCTTACACATCCGGGACTCCTCAGCGGAAGTTCAGCCCCGAACCCCCGAAACCTGAAGAGAGAACGCTTAGCTGCTTGGAAGAACCTGGGTTGGACCCTAGAAGAGAGCTTGTTAGAATTCCGGAGCATTCCTAGTAGGGCTTCTAGTGTTTCTAGGGCTTAGGCAGAGCCGGAAAGCATTCCAAGAAAGCGAATCTCGACCTGGCGATATCGACCTGGGGGCCTCTCCACGCCACACCAAGACAAAGGTCAGAAGCAGTGAAAAGAAGCAGAAAGAAGCCTCAGTGCTCCTAAGCCCTCAACCCCCTAAAGCGCCCTTTGGGCTGTCGGGAAACATGGAGCCAGCAATCCGTTAGCCTCTCGAAAATTTCAGCCCAAACGCCCTGCGCCCCAAATCCACCCCGACCGACTTGCGCCCAGCAGCTTCATGTAGGGCGCTTTGAGGAGGTTGTCATAGGGATCCAGCTGGAAGCACTGGGCCAAGACCTCGGGGGGTCTAGCTGAGTCTAGCTCCACCTGATGGCTCACGGAAAGAGACCCAGGGAGCCCAACGCCCCTCAATTCGGAATAGACCTGAAACTACGTCGGCGGGTCCTCACATAGGTTGCACAGGGAGGTAGATTCCACAATTCAGGTGAACTCTGGCCATGAAGCCTCAGCCACAACCCCCCGAAAGCTCAAAAATCTCAAGCTTCAGGAGAACCGATTTCGAAGACAGCTCAGCTGAGGCGACAGCGTTGATGTCCACATCTGACGTGAGGCACATCAGTCCGACCGCGCGGCCGTCCACCTAATCCGGAACCCCTGCAAACATAACTTCCGACTCCGCTAAAACCCCAAACCCCTAAAATCGAAAACGGCTTATGGTGTAGGGTTTAGGGTTTAGGGTTTAGGGTTTAGGGTTTAGGGTTTAGGGTTTAGGGTTTAGGGTTTAGGGTTTAGGGTTTAGGGTTTAGGGTTTAGGGTTTAGGGTTTAGGCCTGAATCCCCAAGACCAGAACGCTGGGCCAACCTCGGCCACCAGCGCACGGTTCTCTTCGTTCTGCGCCTCAGCCCACTCTGGAAACTCTCCAGCGCGGGAGGTGGCCGAAGCCCAGAACACTCCACACGAGGGTGCAAGCTTCTTGGCAGGTTTAGGGTTTGGAGTCAGTAGGGATTGGGGGTTTTAGGTCATAGGGCTTAGGGCTAAAGGTCGGAGGGCTCGGGGTTTAAGGTCAGAGGGTTTGGGGTGTGGCAGCGTAGCACTGGCCTCTACGAGCTCCGCGATGAAGAAATCACCGTAGACTGCGGTGACGACCTGAACATGTCAGCTACGGGTGTACTTGAAGGGTTTAGGGTTTACGGTTTCGGGTTTCGGGTTTAGGGTTTCGGGTTCAGGGTTTCGGGTTTAGGGTTTCGGGTTTTGGGTTTAGGGTTCATGGAATATGGCTATTTCGCAGATAGGGGCTACCCTCTTTGGATTCCCCTGAACCCCCCCTCTACACACCCAAGATGCCACCGCGCCGCATGTTTTACTCTCAGAGAGGCCAGCTTTCGTGATTGTACAAACGGAGGGTTTAGGGGCTTTGGGTTTTGTGGCCCAAGTCAACGAGCGTGCTGGATAATAGCCTAACTCCCGCAACCCCCATCCCTTACATCTTGGGAGCATTCCGAAGCAATTTTATGGTTGCTGTTAATTTGAGTTGATACTTAACAATGTTAAGGGGTAGGTGGGGGAGGGGTGAGGGGTGTTAACATATATTGCTCTTGAAGCCTTGCTTATGGATGTGTTTCACAGTGCTTGCAGCTTCGGATTCAGACCCGTGGACCAAGAGCGGAACTGAGCCACGCCCTCAAATGCAGAGCGGAAAAAACCCCCTAAACCGTGGCAAAAGAGAAAGCCTGAAGACTCAACCCCTGAAGCACTCAGGCCCGAAAGGGGCTACACGCTGAACGCGTGCCTCACTCTGGGCATCGAAGACAGCCGCGAGGTTGTCGTGGTCCTCACATCCGGTGACGTCGAGGGACTTGGGAGGTTTTGGGACCCTGGTGGTGGAGTGTTCGCTTCAGGATTTGCAGGTAACCTGCCTCAGCAACCCTGGCAAGCGTTTGAGGGTGCTCGGCTGATCCCTTCCTCAGTCCGTGGACATTCCTGCAGTTGCTGCTTTGGGGGGGGTTCGGCATTTGCACATGTCCAAGACCCGAAAGTTTAACCTTGCACCGGTTTGCAGCAGTCTCATCCTGGGATTGAACTTTTCAATCCTGAACCCCAACAACTGGCCCGATCGCACGAAACTCCGAACCCAGCAGGGGCGCCTCCACTCGAGCGATGCGGATACCTAGGGGCGCGATGACCTGCGAGCTCAGGTGTTCATGTCAGGGGGTGGAAGGTTTAAGAGATGTTCAGCCTCCACGGACAAACAGAGCGAATCCCGAAGCTTAAGATGCTCAGCCGGATCCACAGCTCAGCAAGCCGACAAGCCCCCCAAACCCCCCCCCTGCACCTGGGACCGGTTGCAGCAGAGGACCATCGGGGGATGGCCTTCAAGACCTTTGAGTTACGGAGGCTCTTGGGGGGCTCTCGGGGCTTGTGGATTAGGGGGCTTCGTGTCGATCTCTTGGGGGGCCCCTGATCCTCACGACTTGCATGACACATGTTGGCCTCCATTTGGCCTCATGCTTCGCTGTAGCCCCGAACATGCCCACATCCCGGGACCTAGATCCCACACAACTAAGTATGAACCCTGAAATGATTAAAATTAGTGGAGCCCCGGGCTGGGAGCAGCCCAGTGGTTCATCGCCATGAGCTCTTCCGACTCCATCTGGGCAGGCGCAGCTGAGGGACTTTCGCTGGGTTGAGATGGGCTTCAAGGTTTCTTCTTCTTCTTCTTCTTCTTCTTCTTCTTCTTCTTCTTCTTCTTCTTCTTCTTCTTCTTCTTCTTCTTCTTCTTCTTCTTCTGTTTTTGGTTGTTTTTTCTTTGATTGGGGGAGTTTTAAGTTGTTTCTTTTTGGAGGGGGGAGTTACAAGGGCTTTAGGGGCTTAAGTTTTGAGAGTGCAAACCCCACGCGATGACCCGCTTTTTGCGGCTTTGAGTTGCCCAAAGGCTCTTGAGGCCTTAGGACTTTCAGGGTCCCGTGAACCCGAAACCCCCATGCAAGAAAGAGTTATGAGATCCGAAAATGCTGCTTTTGCCTCGGTGGGTGAGTAAGCTCAATCAAGAACGATTTCAAAGCTATGTCACATCTTCGCAACTTATTACCGTAAGAAATACACCCCAAGCCCAACATCGAGGTGGAGGCATCTAGCTGCGCGAAGGACTGAAACGGCTGGAGGACTTTGATGGCCGCATCCTCCCGGGTATCCTAAAGCCCCCCAAGTCCCTAAACCCACATAGGGCACCATCAGCTCGAGGGTTGAGGGGGTCTTAGGGCTTTTGCTTCAAGTCTTGGGGGGGGTTTTGGGGAGTGAGGGGGGGAATCCGACACAGCACTCCATCTCTATGGCGTTCAGGAAGGGAAATGTTGCTCGATTTAATCCCGGTGTTGGGCGTGAGGTTGAGGCTTTAAGGTTCAGGGTTTGGGGTGTTTCGCGTGCAGGGCTTTCGCGTGCAGGGCATGAGCAAAAAGAAGACAAAAAGCCCGAAAGGCCAAACCCGACCACGGAGCCCCAAGGAAAATGGCCCTGAACCCTAACCCTAAACCCTAAACCCTAAGCCCAAAACCCTAAACCCTAAACCCTAATTGCTGCATTGCCACTCTCGGCCATTTACTGCAGGATTTGCAGCCCGTAGCCTTTTGACGTCAAGGCACTGGTGGTTAGAGCTCTTTGGAAAACAGACTGGCAATCAGTGAAGAGCAGCCAGAATGCTGCCTCGAGAGCCAGCTGGCTTTGCATGAGTCCCCGGGCGGGTTGGGAGGGATCCAGCGCTGGAAGCATGAGGGCAGAGCCGAAAATCTCAAGATCCACCATGCCTTTAGCAGGGTTTCAGCTGCGCATGCCCTCGGCCTGCCTTGTGGATATGGTTCAGAGACATGTCCCCAGTTGGCACGTTTCATCAGCAATAGCCCTTCATTGCTGCATTGCCACTCTCGGCCATTTACTGCAGGATTTGCAGCCCGTAGCCTTTTGACGTCAAGGCACTGGTGGTTAGAGCTCTTTGGAAAACAGACTGGCAATCAGTGAAGAGCAGCCAGAATGCTGCCTCGAGAGCCAGCTGGCTTTGCATGAGTCCCAACCACCAGCGTCTGGTTGCGCCTATAGGAAACAGCGCAGACGTAATAAGTGTTTTGTAACAAAACTGGTCACCACAGTTGGACCCGACTGTAGCTGCCCACCTTCAACCAGAACAACGCACAGCCTGTCCTACAGCTGCCGAAAGTGCCACCAAGACCAGTTTGCTCGGTGCCATTCGTAGTGCGTCCGGTAATGGTTGACAGGGCGTCAGTGCCTTGTGTCTGTAGGATTTACACCCATCAAAAATGCATGCATAGGAATAGGAATCTTTCAGGCCCGCTGTTGCCGACGAACTTTTCGATGGAGGCGACCCTTCCCTCTGGAAGGAGCGTCTGCAGGGTTGCTTTCGGAAGGAATGTAGACTAGCTTCACAAGCAAGTCGCTTGCCAAGCTGTGCGCTGCAACAGCCCGGATGACACCTCGCAGACTTGGTGAGGAGGTCCGGCCTTTGGCTGCCGCTCCAAGCACAGCCTTTGCGTCGACAAGAATGACGACTTTCTTGTGATGCTTTCTGCGGCTGCGGGCCAGCCATTTCAAAGTCAAAAGCAAGCCATGCGCCTCCAGGACACCAGAATGCGCCTTGTAGCCAGCACGTGCACTGACGATGGTCCGGAAAGCTTTCTTCGACACTTTCAGCCTGTGCGGTGTTCCAATTCGAGTCTGCTCACTCTCCTCACCTGGCACCTGGTGTAGGCGGATGTAGTCTCCACGGCGTTCTGCCAAGCGGCTGACGGAGAGCAAAGTAGATTCATTGCACGCAGCTGCGGAGACACCAAAGCCAAATTCAGGCGCCGCGTCGCATGCTAGCAGCTCCTCATAGAAGGGCTTGTCCAGTCCCACACTGAGCAACGGAAGCAAGCCGAAGACCACAGCCAGCTCTTGTTTCACCTTTGCTGGCAACTTCTGTGGCTTGCCTTGGGGCTCGCGTCTTGCAAACTCATACACCTGATCAAAGGTTGCAAACACCGGTCGCTGAAGCAGGCAGAACCACTGTAAAAGACCCAACAGCCCATTGAGTGCTGAAGGAGAGGCTGCGCCCTTGTCTAAAACGTCCAGGAGGCTGCCCGCACAAGTGAGAAGCTTTGCCACAGCCGGCTCTGCCATGTGTGGCCGGCTGGTGATCTCGCACCCTAGCGCCGTAATCGTTTCGGACAAGGAAACGTCTTTGCTGACTTTTCGTGGGATTGAAGCTGCGGCCATGGCTGCGTCAAACTTGTCAAGAGTGCATTGGCCACGTTTCTTGTCCCTGTGCACAAAGACGGTATCGTCAGTGGCCACCAGGCACAGCTCAGTCTGGTCATCAGGCGGGGGATGGTCCATGCACAGCACCTGCTCTTGCGAAACGCCTGCCGCCGCCACAACAGACAACGTTGTACTCTGAGCTACAGCAGATGACCAGCTGAACCCCATGGGCCACACAGCGTGGACAGGGTGAAGCCTGCAGTCGCCTGTCAGCACCTCGCCCGACAGGTCATCGACGAGCGAGCTCAGCTCCAGCAATGTCCACTTGCCGGTGCTGCAGAGCTCTGCAGCGTGCACTGCTTCCTGGCCAAACCAAGTTTGCAACTCCAGAGGTACTCGAAGCACATCAAAAAAGGTCTCAGCATCACGCTTTGAGTAGAACAACGCTTCTGTTTGTCGGACATGCATGTCCAGGAAAACGGATGGAGACGCCAACCGCTCTGGCTTTGGTGGTTTCAGAGCCAGCTGGGACAAGCGCGACCCGTTCCAAATCTTTCGCTGCCGGCCCTCAGCTTTCCGTGCAGCGAAAACAGGAGCAATGCCTCGGACATGTCGTCGCAACCTAAGCTTGCCACACTGCAGCTCACGCACCACCAAAGCAATATACTCCCTTCGGTCTGTCGCTTGCTCGCTGCCCATGTCCGAAGGAATGCCATCTGCCTTGTCCGGAAAGATCGCAGCAGGATGTGACACTGCCTCGCGCAAGCCAATTGGAAGATGCACCAGAGGGTCGCACGTGGCGGCTTTTTGTGGCAGATCCACAGCGTCCCCCCGCAGCTCTTCATACCGCGGTTGCCGGGCTTGCTCAAAGTGACTGAACATGCCGCGCCAAGGGAAGCCTTGGTCCTGATGCTGCGCCAAGCGTGACAGCAGTCGCGCAGTCCTATGCACCACATGGCTGTGCACCTCTTGCTGTGGGGCTGTCGGGCGGCTGCGGGGATGTGGCACTCGAGCAACTTTAAAGTCGCACCACAAGGTGTTGAGGCTAAGGATGCAAGCATTAGCAACGCTCAAGGCTGCGTCCACGCAAGTCCCAGGCACCTGCACATCCTCAGGCCAGAAGCCCAGCAAAGGCAGAGGATACAAGTCGCGATGTCTGCCGCGACGACTGCCAGCAGTGGAGCAAGCCGTGTGTATATCATTCAGCACTCCTTCTCTGCCCACGAGAATCGATTTAATCGCGGAGGCTAAGACTGTTCCCATCGGCTTGTAAGCAGAGCTGCGCTGGGCATCCCGGCGCTGCTTGGCAGGTGACGGCCTGTTGCCCCTCTTGTGTGAGCGCGCGGTCGCTGTCCGGAAGTTGCAAAAGAAGTCGCTCAAGCCAGGGGGGGGCCTCACCATGACGCTTGGACCCCGTTGCTGAAATGTCCACGACTGCAGTGCCTGGTTGGGCGCGGTAACCATTCGCCCGGCCATTGCACCTGCAGTTGACTACAAAACCCCCATCCAGCGCTGGAAGCATGAGGGCAGAGCCGAAAATCTCAAGATCCACCATGCCTTTAGCAGGGTTTCAGCTGCGCATGCCCTCGGCCTGCCTTGTGGATATGGTTCAGAGACATGTCCCCAGTTGGCACGTTTCATCAGCAATAGCCCTTCAACCCTAAGCACAGGATATGACCGTTTGAGAGTTGGGGGCTTCCATGTGACCTGAGTCAGGGGGGGGGGGGGGCAACACAGACTTGAGGCTTCCTTTCGGTTGAGGGTTCAGGGTTGGGGGGTTCATGGCTCAAGGGCTTTGGGTTTAAGGTTTATGGTTTAGGGTTTGGGATTCAGGGTTTAGAGTTTTGGGGAGGTTTGAGCAGATGGGTCCCATGCATTTTTGGGACATTTCGTACTACCATTGTCTTCTCAACATATCATTTCAAACATCACGCTCGAGACAGCACCCTCGGCAGAAATCCACACCCGGTCCTCGGAGATAGCGGAAGGCACAAAGACCAGGAGATAGCGAAGCTCGGGCATGGTCGAGAAAGTGGTCCGCAAGATCTGGCGGGCAGCTTGGCTTGGCAATGACTCAGCAAGAACACCGAAAACCCTCCTTCTCTTCAGGGGATGGTCCGGAAGTGAGGGAGGACTTGATCTTTCAAGGATTTTGCAGCTTTGCAGGGTCTGCATCGGAATCGAGAGCTCTCCATCGGCTGCAGGTGCCGAGGGGGCAAGCTCAACTGCCTGTTCTTGGGGCTTAAATAACCATCGAAGAATCCCGGACCTCAACCGAACCCCCGCCACCTCTGCCATGATGGCCGGATCTTGCTCGACGAGGCAGATGGAAAACCTGAAGGATACAGGGTGTACGCAGGGTTCTTTTTTGCAGGGAAGTTTCGGGTTCGGGGCACAGGTTACAAAACCCTGTCAGCAAGGATACCTAGCAAAGCTCTGTCATGCATGGACGGGGTGGCAAGTGCAGCGCAAGATTCTTTGATCGCCTATGTTCTGAGATCGAAACCCCGAAGATCTGAATCCTCAAGCTGGCCAAGCCCCCCCATGGTGCAAAAACCCATAGAGCATGGAGCCCTCGGACAGGCCAAGTGACCAGAGCGTGTTGGTGTTGTTCACATCAGGCTGGCGGAATGCCTCCTGGCGCACTCGCAGGCACGCTTTGTTCTTTTCAAGGGCAGGGGCTTCGGCCGTCCCTGGCTTTCAACCGCACACCTTGCCGATTTCGAACTGGGACTTGCCCCTGAACGCAAGAGAATGATGTGTGTTTGGTAAGGTGTTCAGGAGCTGCAAATGCAGCACATGCTCCATGCACTCCAGTCGCTACGGCAAGTAATTGATGTGAGCTGATAGTGAGCCCGATACTCAGAGTCACATGTGCAAGTACGTCAAGTGACCTGCCTTAAGAATCAGAACAGGGCTTTGTATCACAATAGTGGAAAGTTCAGTGAGTATAAGGGAATATAATTACGATATGTTCACTACTGACTAGCACAGACAGCTGGCAACGCCATGATGATCATGTGCTTAACGTGCAACGTACAAGATGCGCCTTTTTCAGAACAGCCAGTTCACCGATTTGGCTACGACAGTGTCCCTGCTGGGTCCATAGTGCGCATGTGACCCGCGCTCCACTGCAAAACTACAACCCCCATTAGCCCGGCTTCAGTCAGCCAGGTTGGCCGCAACGTGTTCAGCTAGAAAAAACACGGAGGGACTTCCCAAGTCTCACTTTTCCTTCCAGCAGGTATAGAGGGCGTCGCAAAACTGGGGCGTGTAATCTGCGCTCGATTGCAACGCCTTGGTGCCCTGGACCTTGCCATCACAGCGGATGTAGAACTTCTTCCGGTTCTTCTCAAAGCGTTTGCGATCCTGCGGGCGCAGAGATCGCTCCATGCTTAACAACGATGGCAACGTACCTGCAAGGATGGTTCGTTTCTTCATCTTGTGCGCAAAGCAACCCATGTAGGTCGTCACTCGGATGGCTGCGACGTCACTCATGAGGCGCCGGAGTGGTGGGAGATCGAACATTTGACTGCCGAATGGCTGTTCAATCACGAAATGCACACGTCGTTGAGACATGAGCTGCAAGAAAGTGGTCATGTTCTTCACGATGCAATTCGAAAGCCGAACGGATCGGTACTCCTGGTTCCCCCACGGCCTGCGACGGCTCCTGCGGTGAATCGATGAGGACAGGAAGATGAAAAGCGAACATGGGGGTCCAGCGACGATGACCCCTCCTGGTTTGATCCTCAAGCCCAGCTGCAGCAAGTTCTCGAAGCCGCGCTCGCTGCAAATGTCATGCTTGAGGCCGTACTTCTTGATGTCATACCTCAGCTGCTCACCACTTCCCGACTACGGACTTTCACGATGAAAGGGGTTTTGGGTCGATAGGGTTTGTAGGGTTTAGGGGCTTACAGGTTTAGGGTTTAGGGCTTTTAGGGTTCAGGGTTCACACACAAGTTCTAAAGTTGTAAAAACATGCCATTAAGAATGCCACGAGACAACTCGGCCTTCTTCCTGTGGCGACCCCAGGCGTTCTTGATTCCACCCGATGCGCCGAAAAGGTCAAGGCATGACAAATCTCGCACTCCGGTGAACTTCTTCATCATGCGGCGAAGGGAAGCGATGTTGCTTTCAGCGGAGTACCATTCTGCCTCGTCGGTAGTCGTTGTGGTGTCATTGTTGCCTGTCTTCTTGGTCTTGAGGTGCACCTTCTTGACGGCCTTGGAGCTTGCTTGCCTACCCGCAGACTTCACCATTGTGACGCACACCGCGACCAGGCGATGGCTTGCACAGTCTACGCTAAAATCTGAGAACCGGAGGTAGTTATAAAGCTTCAACAAATGCTGACGTGCCATCTGCCCATGTCTCCGTTTGATTGCTTCGATGAGAAGGCTGTTGAGCATGCGTGCATCATGTTCGGCATCATCTGATACCTATGCCCCTGCAGAAAAAAACAACTTTGAGCAAGGCGGTGACTTGAATGCTTCTGCAATGCTCGGCTTGGAAGCAGTGCACAACCAGGGTTTAGGGTTTAGGGTTTTGGGTTTAGGGTTTAGGGTTTAGGGTTTAGGGTTTAGGGTTTAGGGTTTAGGGTTTAGGGTTTAGGGTTGCTGGAGTAACGCTGAAGTCCAGCTGCATCTGCATACCCCAACCTGACTGAGATCACGGACTTTCCCGCCAAGAAGAAGATTGCTAGAAGCCTCAACCTTACCAAGCAAACCATAAACTGAACCCTGACTTCAAGACCTACCCTGAAGCTAGACTCTCGATCCTTAAGCTCCTTCGCAGAGCCCGCCCAAAAAAAAAAGAAGAAAAAGAGAGAGAAAGCCCACGAAGCTTCAGAGCCCCCTCAGGGCAGCCTGGAACCAGCTCTCCCAGTCGGTTCCCCCTTCCTGCACAGGGCTTTTAGGGTTTTTAGGGTTTTTAGGGTTTAGGTTTTAGAGTTTAGGGTTTAGGGTTTAGGGTTTAGGGTTTAGGTGTTTAGGGTTTAGGGTTTAGAGTCTCAAGCTCACCCTGGCGCTCTCCCTAAAAAATTCGAGAAGCTTCTGGTCACAGGGTTCAGTCAAGTCAAGGGACTGCATAGTAGGACGGGGTCAAGCGAAAACCCGAAAACTCTACAGCCCAGCATCTGGAGCCCCGCGAAGAAGGTTCTACTGCTTGAAGCTCTCGAGGTTCTTAGGCCCCTCTGCTTCAGAAAAGAGCCTCCTCTCCCCCCCCCCCCCTGCGTGCAGTTCGAACTCTTGGAATCAGCATTTCTGGGGACTCGGAATCGTAATTTGGACCCTACAGACACCAATTTTCTACCGGTCCTGCAGGGTCATACAGCATTAGGGGTCATGGCAACCAAAGCTTCTGCCCGAATCAATCCCAGATTGGCCCTCTGAGGCGAAGACTTGTTGGGGGCTTTGGGGGCTTTTGTGTGCTTTAAAGCTTTGAGGGCTCAGGGCTGAGGGTGGGACGGACATGTTGCCCATTTTTGCTGCAGAAGCAACTCGATGCAGCTTTAAGGGCCCCCGCAAGACCTCATCAGGCCCGAAATTGGGCCGCGGACTGCTTGGGATTGAGCTGTTCGGGCAGGGGCAGTGACTACTACAGAGACTACTCCACATCCGCATCGAAGACATCCTCTGCGGTTCAAAGGCTTCAGGGAAGAGGGCTTCAAGGTTCAGGGCTAGCAGGGGTTTGTGAGTCCAGCGCTTTTGGGTGCAACGGGTATTGGTTTTCAGGGTTTGCGGCTTCCTGGGCCAAACAAAAGCCTCCTGTCGAGCCTAGGTCCTAAACCCTGAACCCCCAGTCTCGGACGTTTTCAGCTCCCGCGCTCCGCAGAACCTCTCGAGCTCATGCTTCGCAGTACCGCAAGATGCTGTTGACGCCACGTTCGATTTGGAGAGAGCATTCGGTTTGCCCTGCGACAAATCGCCGGTGCACCCTCTAGGTGTCCGAACAGAGGCCTCGATGAACTGCCTGCACCTTAAAGCCCTTCAAACTCCCTGAGATTCCCTGAGCTTTCCCAAGCTCTACCGTGGGCCCTAAAGCCCAATGTCTGCAAGGTTGGCTGCCAGCTCATGGCGACTCCGAGTACCCCGTGTCGTCGTCGCTGTCCTCCCACAGCCCCACGTCCCTCAAACCCGAAACCTGCAAAAACCCGAAAAAGCCGCGAACAAACCTTGAAAAAACTTGAAAATCTGCTTCCGATCATCCCCATCCTACAACTACCTGATGTGGGAGCCACCCTGCCCTCTTCAAACAGTTCAGTGTAAATACTTCGCCGCATGCTTCTGTCGCGGGACTCTTCGCAGAGCTCTCTAAGCGTGGGCAACTCCAGGATACTCGGTCGGACTCTCCGAGTGGGGGTTGGGGGCACTCCGGACTCCGGGGTCGGCAGGACTCTCTGCGGGCTTCTCTGAAACTTCTCTGGGCGAACATGGAGGAGCATGACGTGGAACCCAACAACACACCGACAGTGGAAGAAAACCCTAAGAGCCCTACACCTGCAAACCCTGACACCCGAAGACCCACGAACTTCCCCACATTTGGAAAACCATATGGGGGGTTTCCGAAATTCGGGGTGCCTTATTGGGGGCCCTTCTTATAATAAGGGGACCCTATTGGTGTCTATATTTGGGGCCCCTTCTTTTGGTAAACCGCCCTCTGGGTCCTCGAGCTTCTCGTACTTCTTCGGCGCAAAGAGCCGTGCGAACAGGAGTGGCATGGGACAAGAGCAGAGAACACCTTGGAGTGGGCTCAGAGTTGGGGTTGAGGGCAGGTTCAGGAATCTGACTAGGAAGAAAAGGAGGCCATATTCAATACGATCATGCTACGGTACCTGACTTGTAGATCCTTAAACGGCGCCCACAGTAGGCTTCGAGCCTTACTTTCGGTCTTAGGCGTTAGCAATGCCATAGTCTTCCCGCGCGACAAAGGTTAGCGAGCCCAAAAGGGGCATGTACCTCCTGCTGGGTGGCCAAGGCACTTAAGACGGCGATGGTTTCCTCAGGGAAGTTGGCCTTAAAGATCAGATTCCTCGGCTGCTTGTTCTTGCAGCCCTGGCATCCGACGCGCAAAAGGAAGCCCTAGCTCCCTAAAAAAGCCTCTAAACGTGCTAGAACCGGTACTAACCTAGTGTGAGGAAATGAAGCCCAGAGAGGTCGCCTTAGAGGTGTTGTTTGTAACCAGTTGCATCAGATTAAGCTGGCAGGGCTGGCTGAAGATGGCAGATCTTGATGCTCCATCCAGCTTTGCGAGTCACGCCACGCACACAAGCAAACACCCCAAACCCAACTACGCCCTCAACCCCGCCAAGCTTCATGCCGATGGCGAAAGTGATGACATGCAGTAGGATGCCGTTGACTATGCAGGCCACTGCAAACCCCCTGCCGCAGCGGGTGATGGCAAAGATGCCGAATGAGAACATGAAGAAACTCCTCGGCAGCCCTATGCGTACCACTTTGGGAGCTGAAACAAGCTCCAAATACGTGTACTACTAGCAGTGGAATAAGAACCACAGGTTCAGCAAACTTAGCTCCCAGAATACCCCTCAGTATGTCCCCCCAAGTCTCTGGAAAGAGCCTGGGTTGTATCCAGCGATGAGAAACGGGACCAGGTGGCCCCCGAAGGCGTTCACCACGCTCATGCCCCAGTTACAGAGTCCTCAAGGCAGAAGTAACTGCAGGGTGCTGAGGGATCTTTTCATCCAAGTGCCTAGGGCCGCTCCAATGGGGTTTCAGGGATGCTATGGACGCGTGGTGGAGCAACTCAGGAGCTTCAGGGCCCGGTTTGAGGGTTTTGCGGTGGGTTTTCAGGAGGGGGGGGGGGGGTTCCTGAGTCCTGCGAAGGCATAGGGTCCGCCCAGGTAGTGGGCCAGAAGCATGGTTGCAACAAATCCGACCCAGACCACGAAGACGTTGACATGAAGCGCAAGGGTTGGATCCAAGGGGCAGGAGAAGTGCCCGAGTTTGTCGCACTCCTTGAACAGGAAGGCTCCGAGCCCATGGTTGAAGTTTGGGACAAAGGCATAGCGCCAGCCACGAAGGTCGTAGGCATGCTCCTCTGTCTGGTGCCAGCAGTAGAAGGCCACCGCCAGCCATCCCAGGACGTAGGGGTTTTGAATGGCACGCCGTGGCGACTTGCTGAGGGCCAGGGGCAAGAGGAAGAAAATGGGACACATAAACGTGCTGATGTAGGGCCAGTTGGCCTCAATCCATGAAGCGTTCCTCAGCAGATCTGGTCCCGACTGGGCAGTGGGAACTGGATTCGGAAACGGGGTCGCCAGATCGACGGCCATTCCGCCTAGAGTGAGAAGACCGCAGAGGCCCCTTTAGGGCGAATCTTCGTTCCTTGAGCCCCAAACTGCCGTCGATTGCGGTTCTTCGGCAGGGAAACGATTTTATCTTGGTGGGCGGGGGCCTTCTGGTACGTGATTAGCTTAGGTTCTAGCTCCACTGGCCCACTGCTCTTGGAAGCACTCTCGAGACTCCAACCATCAGAACTCTCAAGCCCTGCTTACTCTGTAAAGTCGCCGTCGAGGTTTGGGAGAAGGCTCCAAAGTATGGAGCCAGCGTTGTAAAAGCTACAGGCGTCCGGCCTCCGAGGCAGACAGGTGGAGAGGCGTGTCCTTGGGCGTCTCTTAAAGAAAAATAACCCCATCATTCGCTAAGCCCTCTCGTGCCTTAGCGTGCAAGACCCCTGAAGCTCACGAGATGCACAGGTTCGACCTTATTAACAGGCTTAGTGCGGACTCCAGCGCATCTTTGCAGGGCATATCAAAGAGGCGCCGATGCGGGATGCCCACAGCGAGAGTACTGGACTATCTTTCGGGCAAAGGAGCCAAAGCATGGGCCAGAGCCTGGCCAGAGCGGCCTCACAAAAACCACGCGGTCCCACAACACAACCCACACCCACGCCTTTCTTGTCTTGCCCACCTGAACATATTTTAGGAGCCCAGAAGTTTTCCAAATGTGTGACGTCCTTTCTTCCTTTTACCGCCTTCAACCGAAGTATCCCATACAAGTCGGCTAGAAAGCCCGAAAGCGGGTCCGCGCGTATCGGCATGAAAGAATAAAACCCATCAATAAACAGTCTTTCCGCACACCTGAACCCGACGAAACTCTGAGGCTTCGACTAACCCTAAAGCCCCCGGAAAAGGGCTTAACAGCTCCTCTCAACTCCCTCAAACTAATGAGAGAAAACACCCTAAACCCCCAAACTCCCTAAACCCTAAACCCTAAACCCTAAACCCCAAGCCCCAAGCCCTAAACCCTAAACCCTAAACCCTAAACCCTAAACCCTAAACCCTAAACCCTAAACCCTAAACCCTAAACCCTAAACCCAACCCTGTCTTGGGCCCCCCAGCATCCAGAACCGCGAAGCCGACCACGTGGCCTTCCTCGTCCTCGACGGTCACCGACATGAAGGAGGTCCTCCAGGGAGGTCTCTTAAGGGGTCGCTACGTGGTCCCTTTGAAGAGGGGCCCCCCTGTATCTCGTTAAAGGGTATATAGGGGGGTAGATCAGGGGTCCCCTTTTTAAGGGCCCATATGAAGGGGCCAGGAAACAACCCTAAGAAAGAGGGCTCTTTTTTGTTCTTTGTTTTTTTCTTTTTTTAAGTGGGGAGGGGGGCTTTTGAGGTCTTAGGGTTTTGAGGGTTTCGAGTTTTAGTGAGGGGGGGGGGGGGGGTTGGGACGTAGAGTTCAGTGGTTTCGGAAGTTGAGGATGATTCTTCAAGCTGAGGTTCGAACTTCAGCATCCTCTGGTGGATTCCGTGGGTCAAAGGTGTGGATTCCAGGATGCAACATGCCAGTGAAATCCCAGATCTTCCCTGGACCCTTTAAACCCTAGACTCCCAGGCCCTCAATCCTCCACTCCCACAACCCGGTAGCTTGAACCCTGAACCCTGAGCTCCCACGTCTTGAACTCATTCAACCCTCGCCGAGTCTATGGGCGCCAGAACCACGGCCGATGGGGCCCTGACGGCAGTGGTGGCGCACCCTAACCCTGAAACCCTCAACCTCCCCCCCCCCCCACCCCGCCGCTAAACACCCTTTCCCTGCAAGCAACTTTACAACCCCATGGCCCTATCACACTAACCCCAAGAGGATCTTGGGATCCCCACTCCACGAGGGACAGGAGGAACTTCACCCGGAGATCTTGCTTGTAAAGGTAGCCTCCGGTTGTAGCTCAGGGCTTATGAGGCTTCAGGGTCTGTAGGGTCCCTTTAAGCCCTAAACCCTAAACCTCTCTTACATATATAGTTTATATGTTGGGGACTTACTGGGCAAGGTCGCCGTTTTACTGGGCAAGCTCGCCGTTTTAATGGGCAAGGTCACCGTTTTACTGGGCAAGGTCGCCGTTTTACTGGGCAAGGTCAGTTGGATTCAGTTGGGTCAAAAAAGTCGACAGTAAAACGGCGACCTTGCCCAGTAAAACGGCGACCTTCCCCCCCTGCCCAGTACAAATGCGACCTTGGACCCCGAAGCTCGCCATTTTACTGGGCAAGGTCGCCGTTTTACTGGGCAAGGTCGACTTTTTGACCAAAAACGACCTTGCCCAGTAAAACGGCGACCTTGCCCAGTAGAACGGCGACCTTCGGGGCCGAAGGTAGCATTTTTACTGGGCAGGGGAGTGTGCCCGAAGGTCGCCGTTCTACTGGGCAAGGTCGCTGTGTTGCTGGGCAAGGTCGCCGTTTTACTGGGCAAGGTCGCTGTTTTACTGGGCAAGGTCGCCGTTTTACTGGGCAAGGTCGTCGTTTTACTGGGCAAGGTCGCCGTGTTACTGGGCAAGGTGGCTTTAGGGTTCAGGCCCTACTCTGGGCTGACTTTAGGGTTCAGGGCCTACTCTGGGCTGACTTTAGGCTTCAGGGCCTAGTCTGGTCTGTGGCTTTAGGGTTCAGGGCGTACTTTGGGCTGGCTTTAGGGTTTAGGGTCTAGCCTGGGCTGCTTTTCGGGGCTTTAGGGCTCAGGCCCCACTATATGGGCTGGGTTTACGGTTCAGAGGGCTTCAAGGCCCGCTCTTTTCTGGGTTGGCTTTAGGGTTGTTGTCTTGTCACCTGAATTTATAAATGTAAGTGAAATATGTTCATAATGTTATGGGATTCTTTGGGCGGGTGGGTATTTTTCCAACGCTCGATGAAGTGCTTGACTAGTGAATGCTTGGACTTGAGATGCTGAACCCTAAACCCTGAACCCTAAACCCTAAACCACTTCAAGGGATGGCCCCCTGGTGGGGTCCCTCACCTCCAGGAAAACCAACGGTTCGAGGTTCCATTCCCAGCCGTTCTCTGCTGTGGGGTTTATGGTTTAGGGTCTAGGGTCTAGGGTCTAGGGTCTAGGGTTTACGGTTTAGGGTTAAGGGTTAAGTTCTACGGGCAGGAATTCGGGGCGTCGGGATGTAGGAGCTTTGGGATCTGAGGGTTGCCAACACACCAAAGCCCCAAGGCCAGAATGCACCCCGAAACCCCCGAACTGGGCCAACAAATATTTGGCCCTCTAAACCCTAGACCCTCCCTAAACCCCTAACCCCTGGCCCCCTAAACCCTGGACCCTAAGCTTAAACCCTAGCACCCTAAAGCCCTAAAACCCTAAAACCCTACCCTAGAACCCCGAAACCCTAGAAGCCGAAAACCCTCGGCTGCGCCTTTGTCCACCGCGTGAAAGATTGCCATGGCCTCCTTGGATCGAATGAACAGCGAGTGGCTTTTGGCGAGGAGGGTTTTGGAGGCTAGCCAGAGTGACCCTAGTGGGTATAGGGTTACCCTGAAACCCGAGGGGTATGGCTTTCGGGTCGAACCGAACTCCAAACCCAGGAGCCCGCGAACCTCGTTTCGTCAGCTAGAGTGAGTTAGAGTGGGCGGGGGGGGAGGGGGGGAGCTGCGGATCTCAGAAGGGTTCAGGCAGATGTTCACGGGGAGAATCGTAAGGATGCTCTTTTAGGCTTTCGAATAGCGGGCCCAAGCGTCTGAGAAGCTGCCATCCCCGTAGAGGCGTTCGTACCTGAGGTTTAGGGCGCAGGGCTTAATTTTAGTGATGAGGGTGTTGGCATCACGCATCTAGTCTAGGGGCTTCAGGCCGGGAGACCTATCACATGATGGCCTGGCACGACGCCTGCTCTAATGACTTTACTCTGTCCCGCTACATGCATCACTACTTCACACCTTGCTACTCACTCATTCTGATTCAGTCCTCATTGGTAGCTTGACATGCTCCATGACTGAGTTTAAGGTACATGGTTCCTGGTCGTAAACCTTCTGAGTCGTGAAATCTGAACTCCACAGAACAGCCTAAAGCGCATACCTGAAGTTCCCTAGTCCAGGGCGTGGGACCAAAGCAAAACATGCCTCGGACCTGCAGCCGCCCAGATGCCAAAACTCCAAGCTTGGTGCTTAGGGTATTTAGGGGTTTGGGGTTCGGGGTGGGGGTTTGGACTTTAGGTTCTCCCAAGCCCGAGGGGGTTTTGGAATGTTTCGGGTAGCAAGAAGGGCGAGCTTTCTCCAAGCCCCCCCACAGCGCGTCAATGGTATCAACATCGTCCGGGTCGGCCCGCCTGCGATTCAACCAGCTTCGACCAAAGCAACCTTTGAACACAAAACCGAACTGTTGCGCATCATGGGAAAATCAGGGCATGAAGTGGCTCTCTCCACGAGGGTCAGCAGACTCGTTGCTGTGTCGAAAATGCACCCGCGTACCGCTGGCGAGTTGCCTGCGTCCGTACAGTTCCGGTGGCTAAGCGGGGTTTATGCTTTCGAGGAAAAGGCCCAGGCGCTAACCCCTCAACTCCTGCCCGAATCCACACAAGCGCTGAAGCAAGAAAGCTCCAAACCCCAAGAACCTTTCAGCTTTTCAGCCCTTCTTCCTGGACCTTGAGCCCTAAACCCCAAAAGCCCTAAAAGCCCTGCCGGACATGCCCTCAAAGCCCAACAAAAGCCCTCTGAACCCTCTGAACCCTGTCAGGCCAACTTGGGAAGGCCTTACCAGGTAGCTTTGCTCGACCGCCCCGCTGGCGGCCATGGCCGCGGACCCGGCCAGGGGAGACGCTGGGGAGCCAGAGAAGCGGAGAGAAAAACAGGCCTCTTCTAGGGCTTGTCTAGGCCTCTTCTAGGGTCTTCTAAGGGCTCTTCTAGGGCTCCTCTAGGGCTCTTCAGGGCTTAGGGGGCTTTTGAATTTTGTTTTCTCGAGATTCTTGATCTCTTGGAGAATCTTCAAGATTCCGAGTTTCTTCCTATCGGAAAAAAACCCTAATATTAATATCCCCATAAAGGCTACGGGCTCGACCCTTATTTTCGCTTTGCGGCCGCCCTGTCGGATGCCCCGCCTCCTTTTCCGGTCCATTTGGCTGCCTGTGAGGGCCTTGTAGGGGGATCCGGAAAATTCCGGGAATTTCTAAGCTTATTGTCAAAAAATCCTAGGAATGTTGGGAATCACCCGGATTTGAAAATTCCCGGAATTTTACAGGATTTCCCGGGTTCAGGGTTTAAGGGTTTCACGGTTTAGGGTTTCGGGGTTTAGAGAAATTATATAGGGTGTGTGTCCGGAGTTTTGTCGGGTTTTGGGGGTTTTGTTTTTTGCTTTTGCTGTATTGGTTTGGGTTTTGTCGGGCGTGGTGGGGGTGGGTGTGCTGAGGGGTTGAAAGGCTGGGGGTTTTCAAGCTCTAAAGCACTTGAAAAGCACACGAGAGCGCTAAATATCCGGAGCGTGGACACAACCCAGCACCACGTTAAACCTTTTGAACCCTAAACCCTAAACCCGAAACCCTAAACCCTAAGCCTCCCCCCCAAAACCCTAAACCCTAAACTCTAAACCTAAACCCTCCAAAGCGCGATCTCTTTGGAAATCACTCGCCTTTGTCCAGGGCCTTGGGCCGATGGCTTGGAGCGGGCAGACTGTAGCTTTGGAACTGTCTCAAGTCAGAGGGCTCATTGCAGGTTTTTTGGGCTAGGGCCTAAAAAGGGTTCAGGGTTTAAGGCTTTAGGTGTCTTCACTTGAATATTCATGGATGCTTAGAGTTTACCCAGCTGTGTGCATTTCAAGGTTCATGGGTCTACTTATAAGCAGGCTTGTTAAGTACGGTTGACGGCACGGCTCCTTCACGCAGATATGGCCCGGTCTGACCAAGACTGCTGAATCAATCTGCCTGTAGGCCCGTGTTGGGCCCAGTCTACTGCAGAAGCGAGCTTGCAAAAAGCCTCTTGACAATTCCTGCGCACGTGGCCATCTTTCCAAGAATAGCTTCCACCTGATTATACTGCGGGAATCCATGGCAATGTACACGTGTCCATGAAGATGGGACCCTGCTGGGAATCGTCATGACACTCAATGTAGCTCCTTCCGGAGCCGGAACGTCCTCTGCACAGAAGCAAGCGGGCCGCAGCACGCAAGAACCAACTTAGGTGCTGCTATGACGTCCAAGATCGAGAGAAAACCCGCGTCTCTAAACCTAGAAGCCAAGGGGGAGCTACTCAAAAAATCCGTCGAAAACAAGACTAAACCTCCCGGAAAGCACAGGATCCGTGTCAGTCGCGCCGGAGGGCTGCGGGTCTGGGACGTGGGGCTTTGGATCAAGGTCGGGACAGAGTGTCTGGAAGACGCCAAACCCTACCCTAAATCCTCAACCCGAAACCATGACCGAGGTCTGCATTCCACTTGCTCAATCCTGGACCCGTCTCTTTCTGAGCTGTCCGGGCGAAAGTGCCCGAGCGTCTGCTCCAAGGCTGCGGAGTGCTTCGGGCCGATAGGGCACTGAAAGGGTTTTACAGGGTGGGGCCGGCATTGGAGCAGACTGCTGGAGATTCTCATGGACACAGCAATCGTTGGCCGCGTCTCAACTCCAAGACCCCTAAACTACAACCCCAAGCCACCTTAAATGCCAGTACGACTTCCTCAAGTGGCTGCGGGGTTGGTTTCTCAGGGTTCGAACAAGACTGTTGGGGGCTGATGGATTTACTTCGCAACCGCTGAATTGCCAGCTACCAGTGCACGCTCTTTCTCCCTGCCTCTCTCCAGCGCGCCCTCTCTCTCTCTCTCTCTCTCTCCCTGTTCTACTTATTTTCTTGTGTTCTTGCTTTCTTGCTTTCTTTCTTTCTGTCTTTCTTTCTTTCATGGGGACTGGGGGCAAGCGATCAACGCGCCCCCACAGGTTGTGCTTTCGTCCTCTCTGTCTCTCTCTCTCTCGCTCTCTCGCTCTCTCGCTCTCTCGCTCTCTCGCTCTCTCGCTCTCTCGCTCTCTCGCTCTCTCGCTCTCTCGCTCTCTCGCTCTCTCGCTCTCTCGCTCTCTCGCTCTCTCTCTCTCTCTCTCTCTCTCCCTCTCTCTTTGTCTTTTTGTGCGTCATTATGCTGTCATCGTATCTACCTACCTATCTCAAACCCAAAGGCCCTTAGATGCCCTAAACTGACTAACTACTGCTGATGAGCAGGGAATGGAGAAATAGCAACTGCAATTCAACTAGTTTCATTGAGGTAATTAGCAGCAAGAACTCTCGAGCTCACCGGCCGAAGAGCGTCGAGTTGCGACGAGAAGTCTCTGTCGGCGTAACCGCTGCGGCCCCGGCCATCCAGCGTGCCTGCGCGCTCTGTGCTGGCTTTGACGGTCGAATCCGTCGAGGCCTTGGGGTCCCACCTCTAATCCCCTCCCCAACAAGCCCGGACCAGCCTGCCATAGGGGCCCCCACCCCAATCCCCCACCCGCCAACCCCCCCTGCCTGAAGCCTGAGAGAAGGGCCTTTCACCTTGCGCCTCCATTGGCCTGCCGGCCTTCAACCCCCTGGTCTGGGTTGCCTTGTTACAGAAGCTCAGGCCGAGGCGGGTCGCGTAGCGTGAAGATTAAGGGTACGTCGGGCGAGAAAAACTTCCTAGGAGCCGGCCTTTAACCTCTGCCCGAAATTCGTTGTGCCACTTCGTGCTCTTACCGCATATACTTCTAGAAGAATTTTATAGAACTGGTGCGATCTGTCGTCGTCGTAGTAGTAGTAGTAGTAGCAGCAGTAGTAGTAGTAGTAGTAGTAGTAGCAGTAGTAGTAGTAGTAGTAGTAGTAGTAGTAGTAGTAGTAGTAGTAGTAGTAGTAGTCGTCGTCGTCGTAGTCGTAGTCGTAGTCGTAGTCGTAGTCGTAGTCGTAGTCGTAGTCGAACTAGTAGTAGTAGTAGTAGTAGTAGTAGTAGTAGTAGTAGTAGTAGTAGTAGTAGTAGTCGTCGTCGTAGTCGTAGTCGTAGTAGTCGCAGTAGTCGCAGTAGTCGTAGTAGTCGTAGTAGCCGTAGTAGTCGTAGTAGTCGTAATAGTCGTAGAAGTCGTAGTAGTAGTAATAGTAGTAGTAGTAATAATAATAATAATAATAATAATAATAATAGTAAGTAGTTGTTGTTGTTGTTGAAGTTGTTGTTGTTGTCTAGTAATCTAGTAGTCTAGTAGTCTAGTAGTCTAGTAGTCTAGTAGTCTAGTAGTCTAGTAGTCTAGTAGTCTAGTAGTCTAGTAGTCTGGTAGTCTAGTAGTCTGGTAGTCTAGTAGTCTGTAGTCTAGTAGTCTTAGTCTAGTAGTGTAGTCTAGTAGTCTAGTAGTCTAGTAGTCTAGTCATCTAGTCTAGTAGTCTAGTCATCTAGTCTAGTAGTCTAGTAGTCTAGTAGTCTAGTAGTCTAGTAGTCTAGTAGTCTAGTAGTCTAGTAGTCTGGTAGTTTAGTAGTCTAGTAGTCCAGTAGTCTAGTAGTCTCGTAGTCTAGTAGTCTAGTAGTCTGGGAGTCTAGGAGTCTAGCAGTAGTAGTCGTAGTAGTAGTCGTAGTAGTAGTAGTAGTAGTAGTAGTAGTAGTAGTAGTAGTAGTAGTAGCAGACGCAGTAGTAGCAGTAGTAGCAGTAGCAGTAGCAGTAGCAGCAACAGTGGCAGTAGCAGAAGCAGTAGCAGTAGCGGTAGTAGCAGTAGTAGAAGGGCTTCCCCCCGCGGGTTCGACGGGAAGAATGCTACTTGTTGCACGTTTGTGTGGGCTTCAGGGCTGTACTGCAGCTAAAGCCTCAACCCCAAGCCTTTACGCCCTAAACCCTAAACCCCCCAGAGGCCCGAAACCAAACACCCACCCAACCGCTGCTCGACGGGTCAATGGCCTGCGGCTGGCAGTGTGGAACCAGTGGTGGCCTCCTGGCTTCATCTTCAGCAGTCTCTGCTACTTTGGGAGATATTTGGGGTCTTTCGCGGTTTGGAGGGCTCGGGGGGAGGGGGGGGGGGGTGCCGGGGGTGTTTGCGGCACATGGCTCAGGAGCTTTAGATTTAGGGACTGCTCTCTGGAATGCACAGCAAGCATCTGTTTATTCCAAGCTTCAAAAAGGTGTGTTAGAACGCACTGTACATGGTCTCATGACCACAGATTGAAACCAACGATGGTAGGGCAGAAGAAAATGCCTTGTCTGATCAGATTTTTTCGCTCCAGAGAATAGGAGCTCTTAGATCGACATCGGCCATCTTCAAAATGGATCTTCCCAGCAGGCTTTCCGCGCGCAACAGAAACAGCGCATGCTGCCTGATTGTGCACCTCAGCCTTCGGACATCGTTTCGGTTTGCTCACGGCTTTCTGTTCTTGAGTCCTCCTGCTCACTCTGCTCACTTCGCTCCTTAGCTGTCAATAGCCGTCAATTGGCCATGAAAGCCCTAGACCCCCAGCAGTCGCAGCAAGCTAAAGCGCCAAAAAGCACCAGCAAGCGCCAAAAGCGCCAAAGTCGCCCTTTGCCCCGTAACCCCCCTTACCCTTGCATACCAGCATCCCCGATGCTCTGCAGCTCAGAAGGTGCTGCCCCGGTCTTTTTCGCAATGGTGAAACCTCCAGCTTTGCAGCTTGCGGGGATCGGCTTAAGGGGGCAAGGGTTTGAAGGTGCCAAGAAGGGCTTGACATGCTGACTTTTTCAAGTTGGGGAGGCGACAGCACTGAGGAACCATTTCGAAACGGGCATTGGGCCATGCATCTCAGTTCACCGACTGACAGGGGAACCCGACAATGGTTCGGCTACGGCTGGCCAGCGCTCGACGTAGCCCCCAGGTTGTTGCAGGCAAATGAAAAAAGTAGCAAGGCATATACTCAACAACAACGAAATCACCATTCTTGCCACCGATACTAACATATATATATATATATACACACATATGTGTGTATACATATGTGTATACAGAACATATGTTTTCAGAAATATGTGAAAACACACACACACACACACACACACACACACACACACACACACACACACACACACACACACACACACACACACACACACACACACACACACACACACACAAAAAAAAAAAAAAAAACACACACACACACACATACATAAAGACCTAGATATGTATATATATATATGTATATATATATATACATATACATATATACTAGCACTAGCACAAATACCCCTATCACATGCCCTGTACACCCCACGAGATCTGCCATGGCCGATACCCTTGCACTGCCAGCCACTGAGAGAGCCAAGATCAAAATGCCAAGGGCAAAGCTGCAAAGCTTCGGAGCCTGAAAGATGGAGCCAAAGCCGACTTCCCGCGCTACCAGAGCTGCTCGAGCTGTGCGAATTCGAGAAGTACAACTTTCCTTGCTGCACCAGCATGTACCTCGGCTGCAACCCGGCATGATAATATGAAGAAATCCACGTGTCAACCGCAGCAGAAGGTGAAAAGCGTTGCTTTTTTTGGAGCCGAGTGTACCTGCTGGGATTGTCAAGAACTCGAACCCAGAAGGGGCGCAGCAGCTTTTGGGGCAACGACTTCTGCCCCGACTGGGCTGCATACTTTTTAATGCTGGCCCGGACAGACTCCCAGTCAGTCGGCCGAATAAGCTTTCTCAGGCTGGGAGTGCCGTCATCAGACCGCCGTTTCTTGCTATGTTGGTAGTTTAGGTGCAGCTGGCGGATGTCGTGCTGTGGTGAGGCAGGATCCAGCAGCAGCACCATGTCCGAGAGCTGAGGTAAGCTGCTCAGCAAGAAGGCTGGAGCGTCCTGGACCTCGCCTATGCGAGGCGCCACCGGGCGCTGCACCCCCCCAGGCAGGCTGGCCGACCTGCGGCGCTTCGGGAGCTGAGACTCGAGGGGGGGCGCGTTTAGGGTTCCGTATTTCAACCCGGGAGCCCACATGCCCCAAAGCCATCTAACTAAGACACAAAAAAAAACCCACACTCGCAAGGTTGAGGGTTCTCTGGCAGTTTGTTTAGGGTTCTTACGGGGCTGGGAGCGGGGCTCCGAAGAGCGGGGGGCCTCCGAACAGGAGATCGGCTTTCCAAGCTCGGATGGAGCGGCGCCGGGAGGTCCAGAGTCGCCTCGGGAATTGTCTGCACCGCGTCCTCCTTCCTTGGAGGCCAAAAAAGGGGGCGTCTTGGGATTGTTTCTTGGGGGGTTAGGGTTGCTGAGGGTTTTTGGGGTTTAGCGCTTTGGGGGAGTGTTTTGGGGCTTTGGGGAGTGTTTAGGGGCCTGGGGCTTTTGGAGGCTTTTGGGATGGCTGGCTTCCGTTGGTCTTAAAACAAGAAGCTGCTCCTGAGCAGGATCTGCACAATTGAGAGGCACTTCAAGCTTTCAACCCCCTACGGTCTGAAGAATGCCAAAGTCTCATGGCCAGCAGGTGATAGGTCTCCTTGCAAGCAGAAGCCCTGACCCCTGAAAACCCTACCAGAACCCCCTAAAACCCTCTAGGCTTCCCCCCGTTCTCAGGAAAAATCCCTGCCGGCGACCCGGGTTTCGGGGCAAGCTGTCAAAGGTTGAATTCCCTCTTCGGCCCGGCGGCTTCTGATCCATAGAGGCGGGGCAGCGCCACCTCGGCGGCTGTCTCGGGTCGAAAAGGTGTGGCCTAATTGCAGGGTTGAGATGTACCGGGACCTAGATGCCCTAAACGCTAAACCCTAAACCCTAAACCCTAAACCCGAAACCCTTCACAGTTAAACAAAAATCACGTGCAAAGGATACCCTGGGCACGTGGTACACGTCGACGCCGATCCGGGAGGCTGATGTGCCGCACAAGGACACGCGCAGGCATGCGGGCGTGTCTTCGGAGCCTCCAGAGGGCCTCACAGACAGGGGGATGTGTACACTTTAGGGTTTAGGGTTTGGGGTTTGGGGTTTAGGGTTTAGGGTTTAGGGTTTAGGGTTTAGGGTTTAGGGTTTAGGGTTTAGGGTTTAGGGTTAGGGGACCCTTCCAAAAGCTAAACTCTGCATCCGATCTTCCCTAAGCGGCCTGGAGATGAATTCATTGAAACGGCGTTGCTCCTCATCGTCTTTTAGGAGAAAGTCCTGGAAGCGCTTCCCTTCCAGCTGCTCCTTTCTTGAAAGGAGGCGGCTGAGGCAGCGGCTGCTTCCTTCCACTTGCAAGCTGCCATTGAGCAGCACCTCGCCATCACAGACTCCTCGAAGCATCTGCCGGAAGCCTGATCAAAGCCCCGCTACACCGGGCCGCGAAAGGCAACGCAGTTGAGATATGGACTACTGGATTCCCAACGAACGCCGCGCATTCAGCAAGGCATGCTCAAAACATCATGTTTTCGTCATTCCATGGCATGGCCTAGGCTTTCATATTCTCGACACGGATGTAGACATTGTAGACTTGGTGCTCAGACCTTTTAAGAAACTGAGCTTGCTTCAAATCAGTGCCAAGAATATGGAACCCTGTACCGCGCAGAGACGAGTGTGCTACACAGAGCGTGTGTTTAGCTCACTTCGATTCAAGCCACTCATCACCCCGTTGTGGGACAGTGCTGGAGAGATTTACACACCAGTGGCGGGAATACACATCCACAGCCCCCATGTGAACGCTGCACGTCAGTCACGAGACCTGGCGGATGCTGATGTTCTGGAGATTTTGAAAGAGTTTTACTTACGAAAATCGGGATTGCCTGTTGGCAAAACCAAGGAGATGCTTCTTTCTTCATAACAACAATGGCTCAAAAGGCAGAATCCCGACTAAACGCGACTGCCCAAGATGTGACTGCCCAAACGTGGACGCTCCCACAGATGGCTGGGATTCAATGCGACGACTTCAAGTGTGATTCCCCATTGTGGACGCTCCCCGATGCGCATTTCTACCCAGCGATGTGAAACAGAGCGTCTACCCAGTACCCTGCCTAGTTCCCGGCTCTCTCTCTCTCTCTCTCCCCCTCCCTCGCTCCCTCCCTCCCTCACTTCCGCATTTGCTGTGCTTCTTGCATTTCCTCAACGAAACACATGATCTAGGCTTGAATGTGTCATTACCTCCCCATTGTGAGGCTGCAAGAGCACACAACGCATCTCCTCGTTGGCTGTAACTAAGCCCTCTGAGTCCTATATCCTATAGCCTACAAAGCCAAGATCCCTCATAATTCATATTAGCCCTCCTATGAACTCCCAGGCCCCCAAGCCTGAAGTGATAGACTCGGCGTCAGCGGATCTGAACTGGGCCATGAGTCGCTGGCGGAGATAATACCTCGGAATGAACTGTTCAAGAAACTTAAAGAACCCTCTTTTCTAGGACACCCTGTGACACGTCCTCGCACAGGGGGGGGGGGGGGGGGCCTAATTGGGCTGTCCAGGCTTCTTTCTGATCTTGGCACAAAACTGTAAACATCTCTTGCGAAGAGGGGAGGGGGGGGGAGGGAGGGGGAGGGGGGAGGGAGGGGGGGGGGAGGGGGGCGACGAGGGCCCAGGGGAAGCTGGCGTCCAGGTACCCCAAGACGACGCTCAACGTGCTCGTCATCGTTGCCGTGAACGCCTGGCCGAACCTCGGCTGCTGGCGTTCTGGGTTTAGGGTTTAGGGTTTGGGGTTTAGGGTTTAGGGTTTCGGGTCTAGGGTCTAGGGTCTAGGGTCTAGGGTCTAGGGTCTAGGGTCTAGGGTCTAGGGTTAGGGTTTGGAGGTGGGTTGGCGCAGGCACCCGACAGCCAAAAAGGCCGGCGGATCAGAAGTGCGTCAACCCGTCAAGCACCTGAACTCTCTGACTTCAGGTGCAGCCCTCGTCCCTGGCCCAGCCCCATACTGTAAGCACAGAAACAGAACGGGCGGAATGACCCCACTCCAACTTCCCAACCTGCAGGTTCTTGCAGAAAAGGCTTAGGAACACATCTCTGGCCCGCAGGCCTAAACCCGGAACTGTGCGACCCAACGTGACTCTGCAACCCAGTAGCACGAAGGGCACCGCTGGCTCATCCCAGCCACGATTCCACAAGTAGAAGGCCACCTGCATGGAGCGCACGGAACGCACGGAACGCACGGGGCGTACGGGACATGGCAGGGAACTCCAAATCACTTCCAAGCTATTGGGTGTGGCCCCCACATGCCGTGACTTCCCCACCTCCAAAGACGACGTGGCAAACTGAGCTGGTAGGTGCAAACGACCGTCCACGTAGAGCACGACCAGTATGAAGCGATAGGCCATCTTGAGCTGATCCAGCACCTCCGGTCGCCCTAGCGCGGCAAAGAGGTCGCCAGCGAACAGGACCGGGAGGAACGTGATATAATTCAGGATCACAAAGCCTTTGACCCTCGCTGCTGTCATTTTGATGTGGCCCTTTGCTATGACCAAGAAAGTCGCATAGAACATGAAGCATAGTCCAGCAAACCGTGGTGCCCCCATACACTCGTACATGATGGTGGCCAAGAACATGCCATGCTGCAAGAAGCGGCTTGCAATCACGAAGTTCTCTTCTGTCAATGTCAACATGGCCTCTTCAACACGAAGCCTCAATGGGTTCTCGAGCGGGCAGGCAGGCTCGCGCTTTGTTGCCAACACCAACCAACGCATCATGGAGCTTGCATCCGAGAAAGACAAGGCACAATGCACCGAAAAAAGCAGTATGGAAGGAACCAACTGCATGGGAAACAGGTCCGTCATGATTTGTCTTTCAGGTTCAGACGCGCCGCACGACATTGCTAGGCGTCTAGGCAACGTTGGTATCACTTGCCCGTCGCTGTCGAGCACGTGCGGACGTCCAGCAAGGAGGCTGCTTGGGGCTTTCGTAAACACGAAGCCTCTAACCCAACAAATTCCAGGTCCCGCAACTAGGCAACTAGGTTTCCCAAAGACCCAAAATCTCCAAACATAAACACAAAGCTTTGCCTGTGGTAGTCCACTAACGCCCCCTTCAACTCCACCCCCCTAACCCGGGGCGCAGAGAGAGATGGAGAAACCCCGCTTCAATACCTTTGGGGGGGGAGGCCAACTTCAGTCTTGCGTTTGCGAGTTTTGCGATTTGCACTGATCTGACACCGACCAAAGCCCCCCAAAACTCGCTGAACCCTCGTGAACCCTCGGGCAAGCTAAGGCCTTTCGCACCGAGAGGATTGCGGCCTGCGGGCGTAGGTGAAGGCGCTCTTCCTCAGGGAACAAGCTGCCGTGAAGATATTGTTAGAAGCCTTTGTTCTACATGACATGTACTCCACTGACCCCCACCTGGACGAGCCATACGAGATGAAGCCCTGGTCTAAGTGTCCCAAGTCACGACTACCAAAACGCTTGCTACTGTAATTGGGAGGGCAACTTAAGTAGACGATCCCAGAACCCGGTCCAACATCCCCACCCGCCCACCTGAAGCATCCCCTACCCGGGCCCTACCCTTGACGTGCACATTCCTTAACATTGAAAATGAACCAAAACCCGTGGGCCCTGCCACACTTAGCGCAACGGCGATCTCTACCCTTCAACATGACACCGCACTGTCTCAACAGATGAGAAATCATGCCGCGCTTCTCGCAATGTTGATCCCCGTTGATCAGAAAGTGTGGCCCTAAAATCGCAAGAAGCGTGGCCCCACCCCATTTGCTCAATGTTGAGATAACAGAACCGTGGCCCTGCCATCATTCTCGAAAGGTTGATTTCTGTTGATATTTAGCATCCCAAAAGGCACTGAGCCAGTGGGAAGCATAGGGGGGGTGGGGGCCGGAGGGAGAACCAGGCCCACAGATGGGGTGGAAGAAGAGAGAAGATGAATGAATAGGAAATGAGTTCGGAAAAGGTGAGAAGGAAAGCATTTCCTCTGTTCCCTCTCCATCATGTCTTTTGTTCTTTTCTCCGTGGGTGTCCTCCTTCTACTCTCGTCCTATCTTGCTGTTCTCAGAAAGTGTTGTAAGACTGACTTCCTTGCCCCTTCTGCTGCCGAGAACAAGGAAAAGAGCAAAAAGACGTAGCATTCTTTGCGGCTCTTGCCCACAAGCTCCAGTGCCAAACTCTACGCCCTGCAGTCCAAGCCTCAAAAAAGAAGAACTTCAAGCCTAAGCCCCCAAATCCCTCGCAAGTCTCGTCTCTCCACTCTTTCGATCTTGCAGGCTCGTAGGACTGAAGAAAAATCGTACTTGTAGGAACTTAAGCAAATATCCCAACTGCTTCGTTCCTTAGACCCTGAACCCTGAACACCAGGTGCTGAGCACCGATCCAGCACTACGCTCTCTGGGCTTCGCACGGGCGTGCTGGAGGTGTCGCAGCAGAGACTGGGCGCAGACAATGAAACCCTCAAACCCCGATATGCTTTGGGGTTCCGGGGTGTTGGGGTTGAGGGTTCAGTGGTTTAGGGTTAAGTGTCTGGGGGTCTATGGTCGGCTTAGGTCTCGGGAAGCCTCAGACTCGCAGAACAGGCGAAACCAGGTGCCAACTCTCGATGATCCGCTGCTTGGAAAGACTTTGGGTAATGCAGGGGCCCATGCAATGAGAATGTGCATTTGGGGTAGTGCATTGCTTTTTCCGATCACAGATGATACCGGTCTTTCAGCTACTGTACCAGTTGCAAACTTAGAGAGCCATACTGCACTGGGCTTAGACTTGGCATCTGCGAGTACCGAAAACACACCAGCAAGTAATTCCGACAAAGAGTAGGGGTTCCTGCGTGGAGGTTAACTTCTTAGAGTCTCTATTCGAATGTCTTGTAGTTTAGAGGATCAAAGCTGCCCATATTGGACTCCGCCCCGACAGTCTGAAAGCGTCGAGCTGTTCCCAACCCCCTAAAACACCCTGAAGCCTGAAGACCCTGGAACCCTCACAAACCCAACCCCCTGAAACCCTCGAACCCCGGAACCCTGCACTCCACTGTTTCTCACGGCCCAAAGGCTGACTGCGGAAGCTTTGGGCTTCGTTGGCGCGGAAACCGGGGGAGTGAGGGTTTAAGGTTCAGGTTGTTGAGTGGGTGCGGAGAGCCAGGGTTCAGAGCTTTCGGGTTGAGGGGTCCCCCATTTCAGGCGTTGCAGAGTGTCTGACTGCGGGGTCGCAACCCGAGGCAAGCAGGCGGCAGGTCTTGGGTCCTAGGGCCTTGACGGAGTCTCAGTTCAGGATGGTTGGGGTTCGGGGTCGGGGGGATGCAAGGGTGCAGACACAACCCCCAGCGGAAGGCACCCCTGTGGAGCCTTGCACGAACGATGCCCTGCCGTGCTCTTTGGCCCTAAGACGCTGCAAGCCGCAAGGCTTTGCATTGGACCCTCTAGCATTTTTTGGCATTCTAATTTACATGTATATTTATCTATATATATATATATATATATATATGTTTGCATACATTTTTTGTATACACATATATATATATATATATTGTATGTATGTATATATATATATACTCTATGGTTACCTATTTCTACTAAGTTGATTACTTCCTTTGCTACGATCGTGTGCTCACTATCTGTACAACTTCCATCACCAGTATGACTGTTATCATGTTTTCTTCGTGAGAGCGGGCAGCGTCGGCGACTTTTGTCGGCATCTGGCCATAACTGTCCGCATCTTCGGGTATCAAGATTGAGGCTCTCATTCTGAGAAGTTGGGGTGTAAAGTTTAGTGGCTTAGGGTTGGGAGGGTTTCGGGTGGTTAGGAGGAGTTCTAGACTTGGGTAGAGATGGACCCGCAATCTTGATCGCCACCTTGAAGGCTTTCAGCCCACCTTCTCTTCAACCACCTCGATGACATCCTGCGACACTTCCTGGCGGGACTTGAGGGATTTTTGGGCCTGAAACCTGCACACGCTGTACAGTAGCCCTCGGGCAGGGAACCAACGGCGAAATGTTCAACTTCTTGGGTTTGAGGCTCCTGCGACCATATGGAAGGGGGTCCTTCTGAACCAGGTTTAATAAGGAGTGCCGAGATATTTAAAAAAAAAAACATGGATCAAGGAGCCAATCCTGGGTTTTCGGGTGGCTTGGTTAGGGTTGAGGGCTTAGGGAACCGCAATCCCAAATGAATATTTATATATACATATATATATATATATCCATATATATATCCATATATATATATATGTATCCATTTCTATATATATATATCTTTATTTATTTATTTCCCCTCCCTCCCCGAGACGTGCCTGTAGCGGGGACCAGCCCTTTGATGCATTGAATGCATCCAAGGCATCGGCCCAACCATTCTCCTTCCAGGGGTTTAAGGTGCTTGGTTCTAGGACCCTAATACCCTAATACCCTAATACCCTAATACCCTAATACCCCAATACCCTTATACCCTAATACCCCAATACCCTAATACCCTAATAACCCTAGGCTTGAGGGCTTGAAGGGTTGGCCGGGTTTGGGGCCTTGTCAAGGGTGCCAGGAGGGGAAGAGGGGAAGAGTTGGGAAGCACCCATGCAGCTTCATAGAACTTGAGGTGTGTATTGCCGGAGAGAGACACCAACTCTCAAAGTTTAGTCGTTTAAAATTAAGCCCGAAGCGCCAAGAGTCACGATCCCGGGCATACCTCTCAGCGCCAAGCTCCAACCCTCGTTTAGGGATTAAGGCTTAGGGTTTGGGTGTACATCAGATGCGCGCGAAACATGCAGGGAGGCCCTCCAGAGCTATCAAGCCGGTAGACCGCTTGATGCATCTGCCCCGTATCACATGTGTGCGAAGAGCACACCAGACTAACAGCCCTCGCACTGCAGGATACCCCAATCAAGGCATGCCTGGCAGGATCAGGCTCAAAGGGACTCCTGCTCCGAATCATCGGCCCGATGCCGTGAGGGTGGAGGGGTACCGACGCTCTCTGAAGCCCTCTTCCCCTTTGCGGTCCTCGGACTTGTCAAAGTAGATATCTCCCACCCGCTGGAGGATTTCCTTGGCATCCGCATGTCCCCGTCTCTGATCGAATCTAGGACTTGAGGCTTGTGAATGCCATCTCCAAGTGAGGGAATACGTGGGGAGGTTAGGTAGGGCCTTGAGGGGCGAGAAAGGAGCCTACTGACACCTGGTCCAGGACGTTGCCGCAGTATTGGCTAACTGATCCTGGGCCCAGGTCATCAACCCAAGGAGAAAAGGGTTCGAGGGTCCCAAGGCCTCTCTGCCTTTCAACAGCTTGTGGATGGTTTTTGTGCTTGAACGCTGGTGACAATCCACCCCACTGGAAGCTGGCGAAACCCGACACATGCACCCTCCTAGGGCAGCTCGGGCTTGAAATCTCAGCAGCATGAGAGTAAGCATCTCTGCTAGAACCGGCCCTGAAACCCCAAACATGCCTAAACCTTCAAGTGAGAGAGGCCCCTCACGTCACGGCCTACAGCTGAACCTCAGCCGAGGGGCCCTGAAGGCGTTCATCTTGCCCTCCCGCTCCTGAGTCGGGAAGCATCCCCAGCAGCTCTCGGGTGTGCTTAGAGGTTTGAGGGCTTAGGGTTCATCACCAAGGAGATTTCAAAAAGGCCTAAAGGAGCTCAGAACCAAAGTGCCTCTTCAGGGGCTGTTCTACGGAATCGTGTTTTCAAAGGGCCTGATCAGGGAACCTGAACTTACAACACAAACCCCTTACCCCCCCAAATTGCTCCCAGACTCGTTGCGGTAGGCGTTGCGTGCAGCCTCTTTGGCCTGTCACAATGAAGTTCATCAAATGGTGTCAATACGTGTATATATATATATATATATCGATATATGTATTGGTTTACTCTTTTTTAATGCATAGACCGGTATACATCTTATAAAAGGAAGAACACCCAAAAATGAATGGACACTTCACTGGGGGAAGCCCCATGCACCCTCAAATGCACATTCAGAACTTTCGGATACTGGGTATATTCAAAGTTCATAGAGCCTTTGAGCACGCTACAAGTATGGAGCCCCAGCCCTAGCAACTACATACGTACATACATACATACATGCATGCATGCATGCATGCATACATACATAGATACATACATACATGCATACATGCATACATGCATACATGCATACACACATACATAGATACATACATGCATACATACGTACGTACATACATACATACATGAAATAGTATGTGTATATGTGCATAAACTTATATATAGATTTAGATATAGATATAGATATAGATATAGATATAGATGCTTGTCTTCCGCCTTCTATGTGCGGGCGTCGTTGAGGGCGTCTTCACTCAAAAACTTCTTCTTTATATGTACGTATGTGTTCGGGGTTTTGCGTGCTTGGGGTGTTGAACGTTTGTGGCAAGGCTGAGGCTGTGCTTGGGGCTGGGGCCGAGGTTCAGCTGAAGAAGTTGGAAGGGTTTTGAGCGGTCAAAGCCCAAGATCCACACAACCCAAGGATCCTAAAGTCCTCAAGGGCCCGAAACCCTAAACCCCAAATCCTACGCCCTGCTCTTCAGGTCCAAGGCAGCTCCGACCTGATCATCCAGCTGGTCGTATTTCTTGGAGTACCTCGGTCTTGGTGATGGTCTTTGTCTGGGCCCTTCTCAACTTACGACCTACCCTATACTTACGTTGGTCGTTACGGTGCCGTCGCTTCCCCCCTTCCTTTCCCCTCCTTCGGTCTGGGCCCCCTGGCCCAGCAGTTGGGGGGGTTGGGGGCGGTTTAGTTAGGGTTCAGGGTTTCATGGTTTTAGGGTTTGGGGCTTGGGGTTTTCTGGTTTGTAGATTATATATGTACTATATATATATATATATGCATACATCATATGTGTGTACATATTGTGGAGATAGATACACACCTGTTGGCTTTCATCATCGGCTTTGCGGCTCGAGAGTCTCCGTGAATTGCCGGGGGGACTTGCCCTGAAGAGCCTTGGGCCCAGGGCCTGCAAGCGCTGTTTCCCTGGGAGGCTGCGAACCCTTTCGCCTGCCTAAGCCTTTCGGGATCTGAAGCTCAGGACTGCAGCGAACCCCTCTCCGAGCCTCCAATCCCCCACAACCAGGTCCCACCCTGCAAGCCCGCATGTCTGAGCCCAGCTTGGGCGCTGCTTGACATTCTTTCGGACATTTGCCTGGAAAAGGCAGTCGGTCATGGTCAACTTTGTCTTCAACGAGCGTGCAAGAACAGCGTGAGTGTAAGAAACACCATCGAGTCGAAAAGCACCGCCTCCACCTACCTCAAAACAACCCGAGAAGAGAAGACATCACAAGCTCAATCCCTGGCAAAGCTCCCGCCCGAACCTTGGGGTTCAGGGTGCCTGGTGCAGGATGTACAGGCTTTGGGGGGGGGGGGGGGGGCTGCTAGGGTGCCAGGGTGATAGGGCCTGGAGACATACACGCTACCGCGCCTGCTTGGAGCTCGAGAGGAGGCAGGGCGGGTGCGGCCGCCACCTACGTGACACAACGTGGGAAGCAACATCCCCCCGAGACTTCGTGTTAGATGTGTGAGATCCCACAACCACTGGCTTTCAAAGCAAGCCGCGAAATCTGCCACAGCTTCTCCTTCTGCTGCCGATGCCTCAGTTGCTGGGGCAGTGGCTAGAAGGTGAGAGGAGCCCTTCGATGGTCAGAGCTGACACTGCTTTTGGACTTTTTGGAAGCAGAGGGTTGCGGAACTGCAGAGGTTGGGATGGAGATTCTTGCCTCTGTCGCAATGGAGCACATCACAATGGGTGTCACATGTGCAGCCTCGGTCACAGAACACGGCCCTGGAAGGTCCAGATTGCAAAGCCGGCTTCCATACTGTACCTTGCCAAAAAAGGGCAAAGGGAAGGGGGAGGGCGCAGGGTGCAGAGGAGGGGCTAAGAGATAACTAAGTCAGCTCGCGCAGAACTGGGTGTATTACTTCGTTTGCAGATGCCTATGAGAGCATCACAACAATGTGTTCGTATCGTTCATTGTATGTATGTCACACTTGCCCCACAACCTTTGCATCACTGGAGCCCACTGCACCCCAAAGCAAGAAGGCCGAAGTGGCTTGAAGCCGCCGATTTCGTTCTGCATGGGCTGCGTCACTGCTGTGATGACATACCTGAGTAGGTATACCCTAAAGGCCCCAAAGCATAAATTGTGGGGCCATAACTAGCGTTCCGGCTTTGAGGTTGAGGACCTCTAAAAACCTCCAAGGCTTTGCTGGTTTGTGCAGCTTGGCTAAAGCCTTTGCTTGGGATCTCAAGGCTCCATGCAGGCGCAGGTTTCGGGATTCCTTAGAGAAGAAAGAGGTCCCCCAAAAGGAGCCTGAATTTTAGGGATCCAGGTGTGGATCGTCCAGGCACCTGGATGACGGATCCCACTGCACGTCTGTGAGCATGAAGTGCTCATCCTGCCCAAGAAAACTTAGGGCTCAGTAGGGCCCCCCCGTGTGCAGAGGAGACATGGTCTTAAGGACTTTTTGACTTGCGGCTCGACACAATGATGACGTGGGAGGGGGTAGAGAGTTTGAGAAGCGTTCTCAGCGTTGAGGAAGACGTACTCTATTTTTGGCCAGTACGGTATCTCCGGGGTCGGCTTCTTAGACGAATCCGGCACCTTGTGCAGGATCTCGAGCTTGTTGTCGCTGGTCATCCCTCCGAAGAGCAGGTCGCCGTGGCCGACGGCAGCGCAGACGAAGTACTGCCTGGGGGGGGGCTTCCAAAGTTCGGGGGGCGTCACAGATTGAGATTGAGACTCTGGGTCTAGGAGTCGAGAGGCCTCTGTGCGATTGGTAGGCAAACTGTAGGGCTTGGGATAGTCAAGTTGGCATCTGCTCTCCTGCTCTGCAGGCTCGCAGGAAGGGGCAGTAGCATCAAGAACTCTTTTAATGTCTGCTTGCTACCAAAGAGTGTCACCCGGACTCGCAGCTACGAGCAGCATAACTGAAGCGAGGCTGAGAAGCTGAGAAGCCAAGTCGCTTCCAAAACAGGAGGCCACAGGCGTGGAGTACGAAAGCAGAAGACGCCAGAAAGCTGTGCTTAAAAAGATCGTCTCGCCCCAGGTGCCCGATTCCGTCTAAGATGTGATTTGTATCTGGTAGCAGTACGTGCGCCTTCTACGCTCGGCGCCACTCAGCCTCGCTTACTTTAGCTACCCACTTGCACAGGGTGTTCTCTACAACACAAGGAAGACACGGAAGATGATATACGTATATATACACACACACGCATCTTTATGTTGTGGATCCCTTTGCTGAAGGACACCCCATGACCAGCGATCAAGCATGGACGTAGTAACCACCCTCTGAACCCTCTAAACCCACCAAATCCTCTAAGCCCTCTAAACCCTCTAAGCCCTCCAAGCCCTCTAAACCCACTAAGCCCTCTAAGCCCTCTAAGCCCACTAAACCCTCTAAGCCCACTAAACCCTCTAAACCCTCAACACCTTGGCCCAGCCACCCCTCGGGAGCCCAGAAGAAGTTGTTGTAGCTGTTGGAGGGCAGATCGAAGAAGCTGAGCACTTCGCACTTCTCCTTGCCTGGGAGGTGTTTAGGCGCTTAAGGGCTTTAGGGTTTAGGGTTTAGGGTTTAGGGTTTGGGGCTTTAGGGGGCTTATAGGGTTTAGGGCTTTTGTGTTCGGGTTCCCTAAAAACCCTACGAACCCCAAAACCGTGAAACCCCAAACCCAGGAATCCTAATTCCCATCCCTCGGATCTCGGGGCCTTGGACACCGCATCGATTCTGTTGTACATAATCCCTCATGTAAACCACCTAATCGCGCAGAATTCGCTCGGACATTACTAGAAGTTGAGAATGCCGTATTGGGAAGGGATAAGTTAAAACTAGCAGAGAGGGAATGGCTCGGGTCTTTTACGGCTTCAAAAACAGGGCCACATCCCCTGCACCGAGGCGCTGAGGCCGTAGATGAACATCTTCGGGTGGTGTCCGGAGTCGTCGCTGGTTAGCAGGGAGAAGCGGTGGCCCTTCGTCTCCCAGTGGAAACCTGTCAAGGACATGGCAAGCCTCCATCAAAACCCTTCAAGGGGATGATCCTCATAAGCCCACTCTTCTAACTGCGTTGGCTGCACTCTGTGACCTGGGGGGGGGGGGGCGCTCAGGGATCAACTACTCGGGGGCTTCACTCGGGGGCTTCAGGGGTTTTAGGGGCTTCGGGGGATGTAAGTTTTGGAAGTTTGGGGGAAGCAGGATTCAGGGTTTGAGCTCTTTTTGATTTGTGGCTTATGACTCAAAGGGCTTGGGGGGGGGGGGGGGGGGAAGGTAAAGGCTGCAGGATTCAGAGTCAAGTCATCGGATGTGAAACGGCCCCCGGCCTCGAACGGAGTCTTTGACCTCTACGATGTCCACGGGGATGTTCTTCTCCCGAATGCCTCAGGTTCTTCTGGTTTCTGGAGCCGGGGGGGGGGGGGGGGGGGGGGCTTGTTCTTATGTAGAGTTGAAAAGAGACCTTCGAAAGTTGGTCGAGCACCTGAATGCCCCGAGGGCCCTGTGGGAGCCCACAGAACCCCGAACTGCGGCCATCTACTCGGGGGGAACCTTTCTCAACCCCTCAAGCAGATGCCACAAGTCCGAAACCCTGAAATATACAAAACCCTCAACTGCCCGAAACCCTCAATTCCCCCCCAAGTCTCCCAAAATGACGAAACCCTGCAGCTGCAGCTCTCCCTCCCCGAAGCAGCCATGGAGCGGAAGATCTCCAGGTTCGTAGCGCCCTTCTTCTTGGTCCTGGGGCGCTTCGGCCGGAATCGAAAACTTGCCGAAATCCCAAAACGCCCGCAGCGCCCCAAGGCCCCCCCTGAACCCCCCCCACACCCCCTTAACCCCTGAACTCCACACCGGCACTCGAGTCTCGAACCCAAAGGCCCTTAATTTTAACTTTCAACGAAGGCAACAGCGAGATACTGGGGTCATTGTGGAGTCTGGGTTTAGGGTGTTTAGGGTCATCGGGTGTAGTGTTCGTGTTGGGCTTGGGTGGAAGGACTCTGGCCCTTGAAGCCCCCACCCTGAACCCCCTTGCGCGACCCAGCGGCTTGCTAAGCTTGGTGTTGATGAGGCAGAGGTAGTCGCCCTGGCCCCACAGGAACCCGACACCCCCCAAACTCCAAGGAAGCCAACCCACACCTTCCACTGTTGCAGCGGAGGTTTTTCGGCCAGGCTTGGAGATTGGCGTGGGGTTCGACGTTCGGTTTACTTCTGGATTTGGGGATTCGGGATTCAGGGTTCCCGAGGCATGGTTGCGCGATAGACTCGAAACTCCCATGCCGACGGTCCAATCTCCAGAAACAACTCTGAACCCTTTAAACCTCCAAAGCCGCTCTGAACCCCGACGCGTTTCCCCTCCCCCCGCACTGCCACCCTGAACCCTAAACCCTCAAAACCCCCCCCCCCCAACCCCCACAAAACCCGCCCCACCCACCCAGGCCCAAGGGCCTCGGACTGCCAATGCATGGAAGCCTCGACCTGCCAGGAGCTTTGCAGTTCGGGGCTTTCGGGGCGATCTTTAGGGTCTCTTAGGACAGGTTACACTGTTCCTTTGTTGCCCAGACTTGGGGAACCCTTGTATACCCCTTGTATACCGTATAAAACTTCAGAACCCTTCTAGAGAAGGTGTGGGAGCATATCCGCCGAGGCCTGGGGCCGAAGGTGTATAGGTTGTGAGAACAGGCACCCCCCTCCGAATCCTCCCCCCAAGCAGAAAGCCACACGTCGGCCTAAACTAACCCTCAACCCTGCACCCTAAACCAAACCCGGAACCCTAAACCCTAAACCCTAAACCCAACCCTCATTGCTTGGGGTGCAGCGACTTGGGCGCTGCGGAATCACCATGCTCACGCGGATGCGCTGGGTCGGGCCGAGGCGGGTCGCGTAGCGCAAAAATTAAGGGACCATGTAACCTCCCCAAGAGGGTCCACATTCACAGCTTAGGGTTTAGGGTAACAGGGGGGGTTGCAATGGAAGGTTGCTCATTTCGAGTGCGTTGCGGGGCGATTTAAGCTGGGGTTTCGGACTTAAGCTCTCAACCCCCAAAAAAAACGCCTGCGTTCGGGACCGCGACGCCAGCTCGCGTCGCGAGGGGATCTCCACCAGTACCTGAGCTGCAGGTTGAGAAGGGTCCTGAAGGTTTCGGGATGACTCTCTTGAATGGTGATTCTCTTGAGAATCTCAACTCCAAACCGGGGAGTGGACTGACTCCTACATGAGAAATGGAGAACTGCCTCTTTTTTGCTCATTAAATTCGAGTACCCTTTTAGGCAATGCTGTGGCCTCGGGAAGTGCCCTAGTTTAGCACAGGCCGAGATGCTGGTGGTTTCAAGGAAGGGTTCGGGTGAAGGGTTTGAGGACAAGCAGGGAGAGGGCCTTCACCTTCTTGACAACACGAGGCTCTCAGTCTCTAAGCAACGATATCTTTGGGGTAGTGGCCCCCAAGATGCTGGTGTTTTCAAAGTTTCTTCCCGGCGTGACCCTAGTGTTCTACTTAGGCCGCGGAGGAGGCGCCAACCTAGCAGGATTGTTCTCCTTCTCCAGGCACCAGACGCTCAGCAGATTGTCCTCGAAGCTTTGTCTCAGAAAACAACCCCCCCGAAGGAAGGAGGCTGCTCAGGGTTTTAGGGTACTTCCGCGGAGTACGCAGCAGGGAGCTCCACTAACATTGCTCCAAAACTCCCGGATGGTTCCAAATCCCCAACCCTAAGCCCCTGCCTTATCTCTAGCAAAGCATGGCGTCTTTGACACGCAACCCACCCCCTCTGCTGAGATCCCAAAAACCCTAAGTCCCAAAACTTGCGGAGAACACCAGGAACCCCGAAGAGTCCTTGGGGGACCATTGGAAGGTGCTCAGCTCGGGGAACTTCAAGGTCCGCTTCTTCCCGTCTTCATCCTCCGCCAAGGGAAAACTGGGGTGGCTTTGGGGATCTATGCAAGGTATTCTTCCAACAGGAGACTAGACTGGGTGGGGGTGAAGGCTCTGTAACATTTCGAGTTACTGTGGGCTGTATGGAGATTAGGGATAGGGTTCATAGCTTTGGAAAGTTCGAGATCATCCAGATCACAGATCTTCTTGCTCGCGCGGCACTTTCAGGCCCAATCCTTTCACGAAAGGCAGCACCCTCGACATGGAAAACGCTTCGGAAACAAAAAAGCAGCTTCGACAGCTCTGCAAAAAAACTTCAACTCGCGGATCGTATGGCCTCCCTCAACGGGCAACTCAGGCTACACTGATCCTAAGCCCAACTCACAGCCCTTTAGGATTTGACGGGTGTGGGAAACTCAGGGTTTGTGAAGGCATGTCTTTTGAGGTTAGAGGGTTTGCAAGTCTAAGTCGAGATCACGCCTTGATCAGGTTGAAGGTGTCGGTCTCGCGCACAGAGATCGACGCTTCGTTGCACTCGGCAAAGTACTTGCCGTCGTGGCCTTGGACCGTCCATCCCCAAACATGTCGTGTAGGTGCTCATGTTTCTGTGTATCGGGAGAATTACGGCTTGCGAGGGCTGAAGAAGGGTTTGGGGCCATGATCTTCCATGTCGGAACTGCGGTCGCTGAGGGTTCAGGGTTTGGGGCTTGGGGCTTGCTTTGGGGGTTTCGGGCTTTTGGGTTTTTGGGGATTTGAGAGGGCTATAGCGGTATATTAGCTGTTGGTCTTGGGCACATCTTTGTGTTTTGGGAAGTTTTGGCCCCAAACTCAAACTCCTCCCGAACACGTCGAAGTAGAGACGAGCAGCTCCACAGGAAGTGGGGGAAGTCGCCGCCTAGCGGTGCCACTGCTGGGGTACCTCATGCCCGCAGCACAGGTCTTGGGCCACAAGGCTTCTGCCTTTGGGGGCTTGGGGGCTTGGGGGCTTGGGGGCTTGGACATGATTCTGCAGCTGTGCTTTTCGGATAAGCGGGTCGGGGGAGAACGGGGCTTTAAGCCTCTTGCGCATTGGGGCTTCGAGAGGCCCCGAAAATTCCACAGTACTTCTATGGCCACTTCTGACCGAAGAGGATCTGTCTTGCACCGTTTCGAGATCCCAGGTGACCTTGCAATCGTACCCCAATCCCAGCATGGGGCATGGCCTAACCCTAAATCCGAAACCCAATACTCCCAAGCCCCCGCCAGCCACCCAGTACAGGGCACGGCAGTTGAAGACACACTCGCCCGTCAGGACGCGATGGATGCGCACGGCCTGCAAGGCAGAGCCCAGAAAGTGGCATTTAGAAGGTGCTTGGGAAGCGAGGGAAGGAGGGAGGGGGCCCACTTCCCACCTGCGCATCGTTCTCGAGCGCTGAAGTGCCGTTCCATGTCAGGGCATACTCCTGCAAGTGGGTCCCATGCTCATCCCTAAACCCATGAAGAGGCTCACAGGAACCATAATTACCTCAACGTCTGTGCTGCCTGGACTGCACTAGTCACTATACTGTTTGCCGACGACTTTAGCAGAAACTCGGGAGCAAACGACGCTTACCCCATAGAACATTGGGTTTAGGCTTCAGGGTTTTGGGGTTTGAAAGTTTGGGCCACTCCACGGGACCTGGGGTTCAGAAGTCCGCAGCTTCATCAAGCCTTCAGCACTCTGGGAGTGAACAAAACCCGACAGGCTGAAGATCCTGAACTTCGAAAGCTCGGCCAACGAGGGCTTTAAGGGGGGCTCAGTGTTTAGGATCCTTTCCCCATGTCGGAATTGAAGGGGAGGAGAAAAAATTCGGGAGAGGGCATGACAAGAAAGCGAGCCCTGGCAAGGTCTCCTCCGTGGGCGAGAACTCCAAGTACCTTGCTGGTGCTTGCGTTTTACCGGATTTGGGGCTTGGGCCCCAAAACCCTCTCGAATGCCTCTCGGCCTATGTCCAAACCCTAGAAGCTTTCGGGCTCCGACCATCAACCCCCCCGCCCCCCAAACTTTAGAGGGCTTTGGGTTTTGAATGTTTAGAGGGGTTACCGCCCCTCCCAAGAAAACACAAAAAATATGATTTTAAAAAAAAAGATAAAGCATGCCTCCGAAGCCCCATACACTCCTCAGAGGATTCGACGACGCTTCGTGCCAGGGTGCTTCACGCCGTCGTGCGCGAAGCGGATTTTCTTGGTGAACTCTGGGCCGCCCCAGAGAGCCACACCCTGGATACAGGTTTAGGGGGCTTTGGGGTTTAGGGATACGGGCGGGCCGGCTGGCAAAAGGTTTTTCAGGGAGGTTTGGGGTCGTTAGTATGGAGGAGGGGGTGTGTCTAGGGGTTCAGAGTTGAGGGTTTTGTGGCTTATGGGATTTAGGGCGCTTTGGGGCTGTGGGCTCAAGACGGATGGTCTAGGCGTAAGCCCCGAATGAGTCTCAACCCCCTATTTCCTTAACAACCCGGAACACCTACCCAAAAGTTATTCGAAATAGGTGGCCTGGAAGCCTGGACCCCGACAGGGTTTGGTTGTTTCGTGAGGGTTCAGAAGGTTCAGAGGGCTCAGAGGGCTCAGAGGGTTCAGAAGATCATCAGAGGGTTCAGAGGGTTCAGAGGGCTCAGGGTGCATTGGCACGCCTGCTTGTGGAACGTCGTCAGGAAGTGGCCCAGCGGGGACCACTGCACCTGCAAGTGCGAAGATGACCTAAACCGTCTAAACCACACACACACACCGCAAACCCCCCCAAATCCCAAATCCCAATCTGAGTTTGGTCTGGGAACCCAGAGGTGTTGCTGGGTGGAAGGGCTGGAGTGTAGCCCAGCGGAAGACACTTCTGCCCCCCCCGGTGTGCCTGCCAGTCGCACCAAATCTTGCCGGTTCGCTTTTCTCGCTCGCCGCCATAGCAGAGAGTCGGCTCGCCTGGACGCTCCGTGGGAGTCGCTGGTCTTCTTTCGGGTTTTACCAGGGTGTTGCCGTTCGGGCTTTTGAAGTCAGGGACAAGGATAGTGGGTCTCGGGCTCAGCAGCGTTCCTTGCCAAAGCCCAGTTACCGGCCCTTCCCCCAACGACTCTTGACCACTTCCAAGAGTTCCCGAGGTCGAAAGCAGTGGGCACCCTCTGGGACAAAAGTGCCTATGGTAGTGTCGTGCCAATAGATCTCGGTCTCTGTCTGGTAGCGCAGCAGGAACCTCGGATTTGCCGCAGGGGGAAAGTGGAGTGGACATTGGGTCTGCAGGATCACTTGGCATGCAGGCTGAAGGCACGTAAACCCTAAGCCCTAAACCCTAAGCGCCTGAACCCTAAACTGTCAACTCAGGCCCTCTTGGGTTTAGAGCTCACAGTCGACTGGAAGAGCCCTGAACGTCCCCAAATGCCAAGAGTGCGCGTAGAGCTCCTCTTCATTCCGGGCGCTTGGGTTCAGGGTTTAGGTTGTAGTGTTCAGGGTGAAAGAGTTCTGGCTTCCAGGGTTGTAGGGTCGAGGAGTTGGCCTGGGACCGCATCGCCGGCATCAATCCACAATCTCGAACCTCTAGCCCCCCCCAAAGCTCTCAAACTCACCCCCCCCCCCCCCCCCCACGAGCGACAAGAAGACAGCCCTAAACCACGACAGAACAACCAATCGCTGCACTTCCCAGAGCCACCGCCCACCCCCCCTTGGCGGCAAACACCCTCAACGAAGGCCCTACCGACCCTGCGCCGCGTCACTGCTCCCGGCACTTGGTATCTGTAAGCCAGGACCGGAAGTCGTTCCGAGAGTAGCTGGCGAGGGTACGCCTCGGCTTGAAGTCCTGCAAAGGCTTGACAGGTTTTCAGAGGGATTTTTGAGTGTTTCTCTTGTAAGGTGGCTTGGGCGTTTAGGCTTCTTAGGGTTGTTGGGGCTTTATTGGTTTAAGATTCCGGATTTGGGTGAGGGTGTGAGAGGCTAAGCAGCGGGGTGATGAAAGACTTTAAACCCAGGGCTACGTATTTCCGAAAGAGATGGAAGGAGAATCCACAGGGAACTGTGGGTTGAGCAACCCTTTGCATCAAGAGATGCGCCTTCGTTCGCATCACAAGATAATGAAGGACCGCCTACTCAGTAGAGGGCCCGTATGCAAAAAAAGACAGGAACGGAAGCCATGTAGGTCCTCGTCTCGGTTCGTAATCTCGTTGAACTGGTCAAACTTCACGACCTCACGGCTGGGACTGAAATCGCACCGTGAAAACCATGCCAACAACTCGGGTTCTGAATCTGCAGCATTGGCCCAAACACAGCAAGGGGCAAACGACCGAAGGAAAAAAACTTTAGGCTCAGGGCTGAGGAGAGTTTAGTTGTTCCTTCTTTCTTTCTTGGAAGGGTCAGGAGTCAGGAGGGCAAGTTAGGCAATGCTCGCGCGTGTAAAGTGCTGCGGGGCCAAACTCCGTGCCCTCCCTGAGCGCGCCTTGAAGGTGTGCTTCTTGTCTAAGCTCATGCCATCCAGGGCCTGTTCACAAGAACTTCAACATCGAAAGTGCGGGGCTGCTACACGGCCCCGGCCAAACAACAGCCCAGAAAAAGCCTGTTCTGGGCAGCGGACCTGGCTGAACCCCTCCCCCAAAGGCAAAACAAACCGAGAACCCACGGCTGCGCCTGCTGCGCCTGTGTGGCTGCCTCGGGGGTCTCATAGGTGATGAGCACGCAGCCCTCGGTCATGGTGCCTGCTTCGTGTTTCTCGGTGGGGGGGCGGGGGGGTTGCGTCTACCTGGGAGGGGTATTGGGTCGAGGGCTGACAGCTTCAGCTTCATTAGAGCTTCGGAAGGGCCAATGGCATACTGAGAACTGCTTCCAAGAGCCCTAGGCCCGAAACGAGCCCGTTGCCGAATAGAGCCAAGGACCCAAATGAAACCTCATCAACCTTAACGCCCTCAAATCTTAAGCAGGAGAACTCTCGTTCCAGGTTTGGTCTCCAAGTTCTGGGCACTACGGGCTCCGCCCAATCAGAAGCGCCGGGCATCTAAAAGTTTTTGGGATCTTGTAGATCCTGGTTTCTAGGCTGAAGCCGCTGCCAGGGTTCGGGATCGTCCGGGTTCATTGGGGAAAGCCCGGGGTGAAGCCCGGGGTGAGCTGAGTTGGCTTCTGTTGCGACCTGCCGCGTTGAAGGGCATCTCTTTCTCGTTCTCGCCGTACTTGTTGAACAGCTTCGAGATCACACCTGCGCTCTTGTGCCATGTAGCCAATGTAGCCCTGAATTTCTGTGACCCGTCAAAGTCCCCCAACCCAGCATGAGCCAGAATTCTTCGCACTTCCAGGGCCGTCTGAAAGTGGGGTCAACCCGCAACTTTTCAGCGACAGCCGTTTCCTGGCCTAAGAGCTTGTCGAACTTCTCCTTCGGCACTTGCGGAATGCCGGAGACTACCACTGTGCCTCAGAGCTGCACACAAGCACCAGCGTTCGCAAAAAAAAAATGCTCTTTCCTAGCTGTTCCGCAATCCTGAAGGCCTCTTCAGCTTGGCGTGGCAGACCTTTGGAGCCTAGAGCCTGAAATCACCACTGCCGCATTCCTGACTCTGTGAGAATCTGCAGGTTCTGCAGAACCCCATGCGCCCAAAAGGCCGTCATGATGGGAGTTCGTTAGTTCCCGTCGAATACGCTGAATCAGCTCAAGACACAAGAACGAACCACCCTGACTAGAGACCAAGAGATCGCCAGTTCACGCGTCGCACGAACCCGCTTAAACACCAATCCAACCGCAGCACCCATCACAGCCTCGTTCTCCCTCGTTGTAACCACCCTCGAAAACCCCAACGATCCAAAACCCCACACCATCCCCTTCCGTTTCCCGTCTGAGGCGCTGGGGAAGCTATCATCAAGCCGCAGCGGCTCCTCGAGGGTGTCGATGTCCTCTCCTTCGCCTAAGCCGGAGTCTTTGGTCTTGTTGGGTGACACTTGAAGTGAAGCCTGAACACTGAACAGCTGCTCTGAAACCAGAATCTGCCTGAAACCTAAAGCTTCAGATTCTTCGCCGTCGGCTCTGGCAGATTCCGATGGGAGTAATGTGGGAGGCTTCTCAGCGGGATGTGGACATTGTCGGCTGTTACTTTGAATGCGCTGTGTTCGGGAATGTGTGCAGCTCAAGTCGTCATGCCGGTTCGGGAAAGGGGACATTTGAATTAGAGATAGCCCCTGCCAAGCAGAGGAACTGCGCAAGTCTTGCACCTCATCAGCTCTGGCTTATAAGCTTTGCGAGCGCTTGCGCAGGTAGGGGAGGCCACTCAGTTGGCTGCTCACAATGGAAGACGTTGCTCATGCTGCAATAGACCTTCCCGATGAGTCACCTACGTGATCTGGGTGTAGCCCCTTCCTAAACCCCTAAACCCTCCCAAATCCCCTAAACCCCCGCAACTCCTGAAGCCCAACACCCCCCCCCACCCTCCGTAACCTCCCCCTCAAAGACCTTGCATCTTTGAGGGCCGAGAGGCCATCGGAGATGAAGTCCATAAGATCCTCCTCCTCTCTTTCCTCGAGCTCCTGCGCTCGAGACTTGAGGGGTTCAAAATTAACGGCCCAACCAATGAAATCCCAAGCCCGCCTTCTCCACTAAGTCGAAAATGTCGGCCATGGGTTTCGTCCTTGGGCTTGGGGTCTCGTTGTAGGGTATCATAAAGCCTGCCGTGTTTAGGGCTTGGGGTCAAGCAGCCCTAAACCCTCAAAGCAACCAGTTGATCCGCTGTGAGGAGCCCCGAATTCAGCAGAGCCTCAAGCAGCGTGATTCAGATCAAAACTGGCCGCCCTGCGAGTATTTCAGCCTTCCGCTTTGTGTGGTCCGAGCGGCTTAACCCACAATGGCTGCGCAGACGCTGTAAAGATTCGGTAGGGTTCCGGGTGGCTTAGGACTGCATGTGGGGCTTCAGCTTGAGGTGTGGGGCAACTCCACGGCAGAACTAAGTTGAAGGCAGACCCCAACCCACGAACCCTTCCTTGCAGCATACATACCGCTAACCTCGATCCTTATGCACTCCACAAAAAGTCTCGGGCACCGTTGCTCCCTGAAACCCCCACATCCGCTCGGGTCGCAGGCCGGGACGCCCCACCTTCTGCCTGGCACTGGCTCAATCTTCAGAAACCTTAAAGCTCTTTTAACCCAAAAATCTCTGCACAGCTTTCCTTAGCAACCTTGAACAAAGTTGCAGAAGCCGCACATTCGGGAATCCTAAGCCGCTTCGGCTGGCAACCCCTTGAGAATTCAAGAGAGAGAAAGTGCTAAGACCACCCCCGCCCCCAAATTCTCAGAAGACCCGCCCCGAAAAAAAGCAATGAAATAAAGCAGAATCAAGAAGCTGAAGGGTTTGGAGTTTGAGTTTTGGGCTTAGGGCGTCTTCATGCCAGGATAGCGCCACCTCACTTTCAGGGGGTGCGTAGGTGGCGGCCACCCCCTTGAAGCTGGGGGAGTTCCCCAGCTCCCCCCCCCCACAGCATCAACAGTAGGGTTGGGAATTTAGGGTCGAGGGCTGCGGCATTCGGGGCCAAATGCCCAAAACCTCCCTCTTTGCAGGCCTCGGCGTCCTGGGAGTGGCTGGAGTGACCGGGGTGGTGGGTCTGCTGGACGAGGGCGCCGTAGCCGGGCCTGCGATTGCAAAGCTGAGGAACTATTGAAGGTAGTCAACAGCTCAAAGTCTGACCTGCCCGGTTCACTGACCCGAACTTCCATCGTGGTGCTGTTTCATGGTTCAAGCTAAGGCCGCAGCGGTCGGGAATGCGCTCGTACCTCGCAGCCGATCCGAGTACTGAAGGCTGAGGGGTTTTGGGGGGGGCTTGAAAGCGGGTCCTTCCGGATCTTCGGGTGCAGGGGGCCACGGGGCACAGGCGGCACACTGGAACAAGCAAATGTTTGAGACATGAGGAACAAGGCAGAACCACAGCGCCGGCATTCAGCAGGCCTTGGGAAACCCTCATGCCACATCATGAAGCCAATGAGAAGGGCCTCATCCGCGGAGCACTGAAGGGCCGATTCGCCTGCACAGGGTGGGCACTTGAGATTCTGCCTTTTTGCATTGCTCTGGGTGTGCAGCAATGAACGGCTGACATGTGATGGCATGTGCTGACGTCACACTTGGAATTCAGGTCACAGACTGGATAGGTTCATAGTTGTTAACGAGCGTCAGCTTCCGAGCTGCACAGGAAAAGGAGCCAGGCAAGAAGAGGCGGCGTGCAGACACCCCTAGCACGGTCCCAGGCATTGCGAAGCTCAATCCTAATGCTTAATTGCACCGGCCTGAGTGAAATCAAGAAACAGCTTTCAACCTTGTGGCCCCTTGTGCCTCTGCCCCAACAACAAACCCACCTGTGTGATCTTAGAGCTTTCCAGTCTTGAGGTTTGGGAAGCTTAAGCACTTCAATCGGAAAAACTAAGTGTCTGCACTGGTTTGGGCACTGATCTCAGTGCGTGAGCTCCTCGCAGGGAGGACAGGCTTTTCGGGGGCTCCCTCGAACTTGGGGGGGGAACGCAGCTCCTCCAAAAAGCTCCTTTCCGCCCGCCTGCACCCTCAGCTGCACTCGGGGGCTCGGTCGCAGCTGCGGCTCCCTGGCTTCTGGGGCTCTTGTGGGGCCTTTTTGGGTAGGACTTAGGGGGGCTTAGGTTTGGCGCTTAAGGGACTTAGGAAGCTTTGAAACAGGGCTTTGGGATGTCTAAATTCGGACAGCTAAGCCTAATGAGACAGCGTCCAAGGCCCTTTCCGGCTTTTCCCCAAGCGCAGAAAGCGCAGAAAGCGCAGAAAGCTGGGCGAGGTACAAGGGGCTAAGGGGTTGCGAAGAGGAAAGGCTGCAATTGGCTTGGGGTTTCCTAAACCCTAAACTTTAAACCCTATGGGGCTCAACGTGCGGACACTCCGTTCCGAAGGCACCTGGCTCGCCCCGCACCGCTTCCTCTGCGCTGTGGCGCATCTGCGCAAGTTTGGTCGCAAGGGAAGGGTTTCACTGGAAGGTCGTTCAGGGCAAGGAAATAAAGCCGAAGCAGTTCTACCTCCCAACATCCTGCAAAGATGCTTCGCAGAGCTTGGCACCCAGTGCGGACTTGAAACTCCAGACGCATTAAGCAAACCCCGAAACCGCTCAGGAGTTTCATATGGCTTCCTCCACATTCTGGGACTCGTGTGAAGGGCTCAGGGCTTAGGGCTTCGGGTCTCTCGCGAACCCACACCCACAAACTGAGAGCCTACCTGGTCTGCCCCGCAATTCACCCCGATCTCTCGTTGCGACGGGAGGTGGTATATAGTATAGTGACCAGGGTTTCAAGAAATACCTTGACTGCCTTGTAACGGCAATCTTGGTCAACTTCAGTTTAACATCTTCCGCTGCAAGAAGAGCTGCGCATCGACACACATTTACGGACAATCACCAACATCTCAATCATGCCAGCACTAGCCACCCGACTCAGGCACTTTTCCCAGTTTGGGTGTTCACTTTCCTCACCTAAGCCCCCTGTAAGCCCCTACTAAGCCCCCTAAGAGCTCAAAGGGAAGCCGGAGGATGACTTTGAGAGGCGCACTGCCGGCGGTCGACGGGCGACTCGGGCGGCGGCCCCTGCACGGCTTGGAGAGGGGCTTTGGGCTCAAAGGGGGTTACTCCCCCTGTTTCCCACAACCTCTATACTTTCATAACCAAAGGGTTTAACAGACAATCTTCTAAATCCGAGTCTATAGATCATGCTCTTGTGCTTCGGGGTTGAGGGATTAGGGTTTGGGATCTGGGGCAGCTGTTTTGGGCTACCGGCCACAGACCATGAAATGGAGAGAGGGGATTGCCAGCCAGAGGCTGAGGCAGGTGGCTTGCTACTTTTGCAGGGTTGCGAGCAGGAGCAACTAAATTTCAAAACCTGACAACAGAAAACCCGAAACCCTAAATCCCTTTTTACCCCTGAACTCACAACCCTTGACCCTAAACCCCAGCAGAGGCCCCCGGCAGCGACGAGGACTTTGCCAGGGCGCTGCCAGCAGCGCCGGAGCTGGCGGTGGACCCTGTGGGGCGAGGCGTGTAAGAATCGAAACAGGGCTCTTGTTGAGGGATCTCCAAATAGGGGGTTCCTCTGTAAATTCTCTAGATGAAGCAAGTGGGGGTGCAGCATGTCCGTCTTCCGGTGGAAATCGAGGAAGCCGTTTGAGCCCTTGGAGGCTTTTTACGGCAACCTCTCAAGTGCTCAAGTGCCTCGAGCGCTCCTGGCGCCAGCTGGGCTCTCCTGGAACCAGTGGGGCTCTTCCGCGGCACCCCGGGGACTCACGCTTCAGTCTACTGGGTTGTTGATGAGGAACTTAAACCGTAGGGTGTGGCCTGCGCAGCAGTACGACTTCATGTATATGTATATCCACATATATCCATCCATATCCATATACATATACATATACATATACATATGCATATACATATACATATACATATACATATACTGTGAGCAGGTCTAAGCACGCACGTTGCATGTGCAGAGCTGCCAGGACCAGTACTGTAGTCTTCTTTGCATGTGTAGGTTTGCAATTCGTTTCAATGCCAATTTTGGCTCAAGTACCGAGCTTGTGCCTTTGAGCACGGTAGAGTCGTACAGTAGCTCTTAGGTTGCTGTGCGGTCCGACCGGACGCACTCAGGCGTAGCTGCACAAGTGCTTGAACTCGCGAAGTCGTAAAACAGCGTGACCGGGCTGTGATTGCATTGGCTTAGTGCAAGTCCAGTGCTGGTCGACTTCACAATTGGGGGCTGTTCTGGGAAACGTACAGCTCTTGTGCCTACGGCCCGAGTGGGCAAGCATTGCTTTGCTTGTCTGTCGCGGTCCGTGACCTGGACGCGTGGACTGTGTGCCACGCTTGCGGCCTGCTAACCAAGGCGCGGCGCTTCGCGTGCCACGCCTGCGGCCTGTTTACCAAGGCGCGGCAATGTCCGCAGAGGTAGCAGGTCAGGCCGAGGGCGTCACCCTCCTCGAAGCTATCGAGGGTGGAGACGTCCCCTATCCCGAGCGGATGAGCTACGTCGCTTGGCTTAAGTGGCGTAGGGAGACCGGCAGCCGTCCGTTGTCCAAGCGGGATGGGATCAGTACTACGCCAGAGCAAGAGGCGGCTCTCTGGCGAAAAGTCATGAAGTTCCTCCATGACGCCGAAGACGAGGACGAGGATGAGGAGGAAGAAGAAGAGGACTCCGAGCTAGTCCCTGAGGCCTCGGGCGCTGGAGGCGACAGTCCGCCGCGGGTGGACATCAGCGCCGCGGCTAGGGAGCTGGCCATGGTCCCTACCGGTGCTGCCTATGTCCCTGCTACGGCACCAGGGTCCCGCCCGGCGGGACCGTCCGGTCCGCCGTCGACAGCAGGTTCGGTGCCAGGCACCGCAGAGGGCTTGCAGGCGGAGCTGCGCGCGATTTTCCGTCCAGACCAGGAACCGGTCGCGGACTACTTGACGCGCGTTTCGCGGATTGTCCTCGCGCTGAAAGCGCATGGAGTCACGGTGAGCTCCCGTGACCTTGACGCCTTAAGCACCAAAGCCACCCTCCTTGCGGATGAGTTCTCCAAGATAGGCGGGGACTGGCATCCGACAAAGATGGTCCGTCGGCTGCGGACCAGATTCTCGGTCGCGGCTTTGCGCGGT